GAAACTCTTTGCTCAGCCCTGAAATTATACTAAATATATATATTTAGTATAATTTCAGGGCTGAGCAAAGAGTTTCTAGCAATCTGATTGGTTGAACGGTTCCTTATATGACGCTATATAAACCGCTCCGCGCGGTTTATACAAAATGTTAAACTAAAATGTTAGTAAATGTTACTAAAATGTTATGATTTTAGAGATTTCTCTGTTGTTCAGCTCTGAAATTATACTAAAACAATTATTCGCCTCAGGTTCGGTGAATATTGTCGAATAATCCCCTCGACTTCGTCTCGGGGATTATTCAACGATATTCACCTCGCCTTCGGCGAATAATTGTTAAATATATATATATAACTAAGATGAGGGGACTGGAACCAAGATTAAGCAAAAAACTTAACAATAAACAATAACACCAGAGCAGATTAATAAAGCAACAGCTTTTCACTTCCGACGTTCACATTGAAAGCTGGCTCAAGTTCTTGAATAAGTAAGGACTCTTTGATTTTACAATGGTAGTCTGTTTTTCCTTTTGCCAAAATATCAAAATGATCCCACTTGATACTATGTCCAGTGGCCTTGACGTGGTCGGCAATGGCCGAGGTATTGTCATTTTTAGCGAGGGCCTTAAAATGTTCGGTTTTTGTCTGGTTAAGGCTGGAGGCTATAAACGATTCATTGGCTGTAACGCCAGGAACGGGGTGCTAAGAAAGGGAAAGCAAAAACGACGAGCAAGCATTTAAAACAAAACAAAATAATCCACAAATAAAATTTACATTTCCACGTGTATTCATCGAAGTGAAATTTTTTTTTAGCCAAGCCAGGACTGATCATGGCAAAATATTATTAAGAAAGAAAGTCATAAAATCACTTCATGCGATAACAGTGTTTTCAAGTCAGATCTATTATACTCGAGAAATGAAATAAAATTATCCCTTCTAATTGCTAAAGTGCTAAAAAAAGAAAAGGAAAAGAAAAGCGAAAACGTAAGAAAAGCAATTTTTTTTTCCTGAATCAGCAAAAGTCAGCAAGAAGTCGAGGCTCAGCCCGAGCGGAAGCCGTGATACTCGTGTACCACGCATGTGCCTGTTCACTGTAGCTCAAGTATCTGATGGACTCGGAGTTAACAGCGGAGAAGGAACGCGGGGATGCGGACCAAGAAAGGTTTCGGCGACGCTCTAAAACAACTCCGCCAGCTTCAAATCAATTTGCAATGTCTAATACCTTAGACAATGGAGTTGGGAGCTTTGAAGAAGCAGACGCTGGCGATAAATTGTGCACATCGATGACCGATGATCTACAACAATCGGGCAATGGACTGCAATATGACGTGCCGGCCAGTTTCCGTTTTGTGTATCTTGGAAGTACGGTCCTTGACAAGCGCTACACTCAGGTTATGCTACCGTGGGTCATTGCTGAGATCAGGCGGAAAAACGAGCGAAATTGTATCGATTTAAATGTCAAAGAGATGACTGTTGAGGCAGTCGACTGCTCCACAGCAAGTACTTTGTTTCGACACAAGGTGCAGACTATAACACGCTGCTCGCGGTCTGTGGACAAAAAGTGTTTTGCCTACCTGACTAAGATACCCGACGATTTATCTTCCTGCCACTGCTATGTGTTTGAGGCCGTCGAGACAACCTCGGTAAGGGTTATCTTCTGTGATTTCATTAGCGGAAGGCTTTGCAGTGTCTCTGAGTTGATGAAGCCTTTTACCTGTAATCTCCTAACTAGAGACTATGAAATGCTCCCCGGTTAATCAATGATTACACAATGTATTTACGTCTTACAATATATGCTTATAGGTTTTGTAAAGAACCGTGCATTGAAGTTTTGAATAATTTGCGTGCTTTCTGATGCTATGCCGACTGCATTCGCTTTCCTTTGAAATTCCCTTCCTTTCAAACCTCGGCCTATTCCAGTTTACCCCGCAAAACATTTCCTTGGTTTTGAAGGGAAACCTGATATACCACTTAACAGATTTTAGCTAGTTGTATTTATTTTGGCGGAGTAAGGTTTCGAAGCTCAACTTTTCACCTTTTCGATTTTTTATAACGACAAAGGGAGCTTTATTTTTTATCTTGATGGCGCACATGTTAAGGTTGCCTTAAAACTAATATCCGAGTGGTAATTTCCTAAGAATAAGTCGGGGTAATTTTATTATCCACGAATTGGTAGGATCTTTCTGGGTTGCATTTTCATTCTTTACGTTAAATAATTGTCGTCATTGTAATAGTTTTCCTAGCCTGAACATACCTCGCTAGTTATTGTTCGAAATCGTGTTTACGTTCATAAATTTCAAGGGAAAAATTTTCACCTCGTGAATACCTAATCAAGGTCCCTTATTAGATTCGGGAAAAAAATTTGGCTGTTGTGTCCTTCCGGATCAAAGGTTATTAAAATTGTTTTCCTGGCGAACTTCCTTCAGTGTTTATTTTGCGCATGTGACTGAGTGTTTGAAAAGTAGAACCTTTCACAAAATGCTATCACGTACATTGAAGAACTTGTTTTGAAGTTCAAGGTAATATTTCATGTTAGTTATTGTTATGCAAAACAGTTTTGTCACACAATATTTGGTGTCAGCGAAAACAATGTCACAAGGGAATTGCTGGTCTCGTTTCAGGTTTCCCATGCAAAAATTTTTTTTTTCTAGTAGAACTCAGAATCTTATCCCTTGAGATGTCTAATTGACTTGAAATTATCAATGTCTTAAATTTGAGCTCAGGATTTTCCAATATATTTAAATGCCCCATTTAGGAGTTAAAATATACTTGATTAAGATTAATTTTTTTCCTTTGATAAAGAGTTTGGAAATCTGTTTAAGACAATCATTTAGTATTTTTCCAGCACACTGTAGCCAGCAGTTAATTGAACATTAGAATTTCTGTTATTATGAAATCATTGGCTGTACCATACAGATGGTGTCTGTGTTTTTGACAATATATACCAACTAATGTAGCTGGTAGTATTATATGTTGAAACAAATGAGGAAAAAAATTGTTGCAAGGCTTATATGAAAAGAGTCTTTAATATTCTGTGTACATATTAATTAAATTGAACCTGCCATGTCAGATGACTTTGATAAATTATTTCGGAAAGGACTTCTTCAGAACTACAATTTCAAAATGAATGGAAATTTAGGGGTTTGAGTTCTGTTCAAGGATATAAACATAAATTGTTCATGTAAACCTGCTGAAAAAAAATATATCATTTCATGCATACTGTATTAATAGGAGTGCATTTTGTTGGACAATGATGCAAGTGATGACTGTTTTACAATCCTCCAAAAGGATGTGCAGTTTGTAATTCTTAAGACATCTGAATAACAAAATATTTCAGATATTTCTTTGATTTTGTTAACAAATTTTTCGTTTGCCAAATCTGTACTGGTAACAATTTTCATCAACTGGTCAAACGTCCTTGTCAGAGAATACCATTGTGTGAAACTTTGAAATCTTAAATTTAGTAACAAGGGAACTCAAGGTTTAGAAGGGTGGTCCATTTGTGGAAGAACAAGCTGTAGTATTATTGCTTTTATGTGGCTTTAACTATGATTTAGTTTGGTTTTGGAAAGTGTCTGATGTTTGTCACAGAGATTCTAAGCTTTGTATTCCTTGTTTTCTCACAGGTTTCTGGGTTTTTGCGTGGTATTCGAGATGCTGCTAGGCAAGTAACAGAGCAACCAGGAAGTATTGTAACCACAGACAAGGAAAATTCTTCCAGTGAACCAGCTAATTCTAACAGTAATGGCAGTCCAAGTAATTCTTCTGAAAATCCTGAGACACAGGCGTTCATTTTTCCACTATGGTACGTGGGTCGAAGCACTGTATCACACAGACAAGCTCCACCCACTCTTATTGATGATTTGGTGGAGAGGTTTGATAAAAGAATAGGAATATATGAGTTGGAAAAGCAGCTAAGTGGACAAAAATCTGAACAAAGAGAAGGATGTTCTAATACAGTCAGTGTAAATGCCACTGTTGAAAATCATTCGAAGGAACATCCAGCATTGATCAAAGCAAAAAGCTTGGATCAAGAGAGAATACTTGGTAAAAAAAACGGCTGTGAAGACAATGCACCAGATGGCAGCAAGCACCCACCTCTGATGAAGATGGAAAGTTTGAATGGAAGACCTCGCTCTGCCAGTGACGGTGATAAAACAAAGGATGTTTACTCTACCAGGAGTCAGAATTCCCATCAGAACCAACATCATGCAAAAACACCCTCAAGGAAATCTAGTTTTGTTGGTGTTGGTGAAAACAGAAACATTCTTTTTAAAATCAGCATCCATTCAATTGCATGTCTCAGTGCAGCCTCAAGGATGCTTTTGATGGAGAGAAGACTCAGAGAAGTTTCTTTTTGTCAACAGGTAGGTGAAAATCATGATCAAATATTGTTAATAATGTGGCTATTCTACTCTCTTACATTGCAGCTAACCTAAACACTCTTTGATATATGTCATCTTTTAACCATCCCAAGAAATTATTTGGAAAAAAAAAACAGCATTTTTGGTTAAATCCTCACGTTTTGACATCAGTCTGTAGTGGAGCCCTTTCTGTTCCATAGTCAAGCATTTTGAAACTACTTATAGGGTGAACTGTTGCTGTGACATCATTGTTAGATTTACGTAAGACGTTTATATTTCAAAGATTATGACTTCATAGGGACAGCTGGGTAGATTACTTTTCTTTGTGGGCATTTGTTAACCAAGAAGTGATATTGTAGATTGACTGCCCACTTGTAAGTGAATCTCATTCGATGAAATCAAATATAAAGTGGAACTTATTTTTCTGTAGCTTGATCATTGCTGAAAGTAGCATGGATTTTTGAAACTTTGCATAGTAATTTCTTGTGTTCTTTAACAACTTAGGGAACAAAGTCACCTGAGCATTTTGGCTTTATCTGCCATGAGCTTAAAACCGGGCAGTATTTCTGTTATGTATTCAAGGGAAGTTCTGAACAAGTGGTAAGTTTCATGGTGAATGCAGTAACACATCCCATCATACTTAAACAAGCTAAATTAAATTTTTATCAACTTTTTTTTGTGCAAGACCAAGTCTCTTGACAAAATTATTCTTTTTATAGGTTACATGAGTTGTATATAAAGCACTGCACTCTATTTGTAAAGACCTGTGCAAGGTGCATGCTATCCGTAAGCTGTAAAAGTCTACAGTACTTTATACCGTGATAATATAAATTTATTGCAGAATGATTTTCATTATCATTATCAGTATTATTTATCATTAGTACTATTATTGTTATAGTTAAGCAATGAAATGTTCAGAATTTTTTGTTTCAAATTCCAACACAATTTCCAGCCAGCTAGACAATTCTAATGTTGCATTAGCCTATTACTTTGGTGTGCAAGTCGTGAAGATATTTACATAAATAAAATGATGTTTTGAGGTGGATGAGGTGATGCAATCTTTAAGAAAAGCATTCAACAGTGCTTGGCAAGCAGCAGGTCCTACTTCAGTCTGTGACATGTGTCCTCTTCATCATCTTCATCAATTGTGTGTTCAACTTGAAGGTAAGTTTGTGTGCCCATCCTGCCCACTTTGGTTTGCCTGCTGTGATTCTATGCAGGGAAAAAAATTGCATGGAGTGGGCTTAAAAAGTTTGAAGTTTTTGGACAATGTCTACAATGGAGTCGCAAAAAGAGGCAAAAGACTGTGAAAACAAGGAAAATATAAACAAGATGTGAGTTTAATGTGACACAAAAACTGAAAAACTAAAAGACAGAGTGATATGAAGGCATGGAAATGAGTTTGCTTCTTATTAAAGTGAAATATTTTTTGCAATGTCCTCAATTGACCAAGCTCATTTGGTCAAGATAGCTGGATATTAGCCTCATTCTTTATTTTGCATTTTTGTGCACCTAACTTCATCATCCATAAAAACCAAAGTAGAACTTGGTCAATATCCAGCCATCTTGACCTCGCACTTGGTCAATAACCCATACATCTTACAAATGAACATGACACTATGATCAAGGACCACTTATGACTTGTAGTCTAGCACCCCAAGCACAGGCAACCAGGTCTCCCACAACACCCATGAACAGTCTCTTACTGTCAAAACGGGTTGTTAGAGCAGTAGGCTGGATCCTCTATGGCTTTGAGTAATTCTATTATGTTGTTTGCAGGGCGTGGAGCAAGTAATCAATAGGATATACTGCAAAAACACAGAATTAATCTCAGTGATGATGAGATGAGCCAGTTTACCGAACAGTTTAAGGTGAGTGTGTATGGTCACAACATAAATGCAGCGATGGTTAACAATTTTAAAACCATCCAGTGAAAATCTTTGCCCACAAGTTGACAAATACTGTTGCCCTTAAAGTCAAGTGGCAGTAGGTGGCATGTACATGTACCTCACAGATTTGATTATTGTTTTTTGGGTATTAATATCAAGTTATTGAAATAACAAATCTGTCATTGCTGATATTAAATTTCTAGTGTATTTAGTATGGTGTATTTTGTACTCTTTTTTGCTTGTTTTCACAATTTTTTTTTTTACACAGCTTGCTTCACTCTCAAGCAGGAGTGATTTGTAATTAAAATTTCATCCAAGTTTCTGAATCACAACTTTTCCTTAAACAAATTGAGGATGGTTTTGCAAACAAAAATAGTTTTGCTTAACATTTTTCCATCTCTTAGGCTGAAAGTCCATCAACGGTGACTGAGGAAATTGAAGTAATCATGGCCATATTCAGAGCAATGTATGAAAAAAGGCAACTACAGCACACACACATTAGCCAGGTAACAGAAAAGCAAAAAAAATTGTTCATTCAGTTGTGTCAAGGTAGTGCATATTAAAAGGCAGCCTGTGAAGAACAACCATTTCTATTTCATTTCACTGTTGGAAAAATGAACAGCAACACACAACTGCAGTATTCATAGAGAAGCTGCAAACCACAGCATGTATGTTGCAGAAGACAAAAGACAAAAGGCAGCAATGATAAAAATCTCTCATCATAGAACATTAACCAACCAAATTTTATTTTTCATTTCATTAGTGCCCATTTTAGATCCAAGGTCATTTGCAAGCTCATTCCATTTCTTGTACATAGAAATTAGCTCTGTTTACACTGTACCCCATGGAGCCAAAGGGTAAAGATAAAGTAAGTTTATCTTCATATTGTCTCTTCAGGGACAGCAATACCAAAAGGACAAAGTACCTGTAAGCCCTAATTTGCTGCAAAAAGCCAAGAAGTCTCTGACCAGTTCATTTGAAAGTTTCATGAGTAAGAGGGTAAGAACAACATGTCTAATTTTATTTCTTGGGAGAATGGTTAATTATTGTACATTATTTACAGATTCAAGTGAAAGGTGCTATTTATGACTTGATGTCATAGTGTGATTATCTGGATAAGAGTACTCTTGGTTGATGATTTCTGCATCTAACAAGCTAAAAAATTTTTTTTTGATTATTCAAGCTTATTTGGTGGAGGTCATTTAGAGAAATTTCTTTATGTAACATTTTAGTATGTAACATTCTAGGCTAGAGCAAGGACGGTAATGAGTGAAGAGTGTTCTGGAATGGTAAGTGATACCAAGTTATATCCCAAGTGTGTAGCATAAGAGCTAATTTAACTTAAAAGGTACCAAGCAGAGGGGGTTGGCAAAATAGGTAGTGCTTGTGTGTTGAACTTGGTTATCCCTGTTGTAAGAAACTTAAACCCTTTACAACCTAACTTTAGCTTGCATATTCTCTGTACTGTTCTCTATAGTTAAGGTGCTGAAAAGGAGAATTTATTAAAAGTTCAAGAGCTTCGGTAGCTGATGATCATTTCCTTTATTCTCGTGACGTTACTGCTTGATTCAGGTGTGATATTGTAAGGAGAAATTAGGTGCTAGTCACTCTTAGAGTTCAAAGAATCAAATTAAGTTGATTTAATTCTTTTTCAAAATTTGATAGGAAAGATGTGAGCCAACCAAACAATCACCTGATCCACAAAGGAGAAGAAGCATGACACTGGACAGCACCCCTTCAAATTGCAACATCACTACTCCACCCATGTCGCCATTGAAAGAACTATCTGCAAAGGGCGAGGATTTATTTACAAGCACACCACACAAGCTGCCAAGACAAACAGCAAATGGAGAAACCAGTCCATCCATGACCACTCCACCTAACACACCCACTAAAACACCCAGTCGCCACAGGCGTCTGAGCAAAACAAACTCCTATGGATACAGACAGGTTTGTGTTGTGTGTAATATTCAGGGATCTCATAGAGGGGGGACTACGGCACTTCCTACCTTTACACAGAACATTAAGAGTCTGTCCCAAAGGTATGACAAAGTGATTAACTTCTTTCTTCATTTGATGACCAAGTACAAAATTAACCATCTTTCTTATGCCATTTGCTCTCACAACACTTGCAGCATTTCTGATTTTAAGAGTATGCTGGCACTTGTCACTTATGAATCTACAGCTGTGCTATTTGCTGTGCTCACAATTCAGTTCTCTGTCACTCAGTGACAGTGCTTGAAGTGCAAAATCTGTAGGCATACTGCTCAAACCTCTACAGGGAACTCAGATTTTTCTTTGTTTTGGGCTTGTGAGAAAACAGATGCATCTTTCTTTTTTTCATTGGATGCGCTTGCACAAAATGTACCTCCTCTGGTACTCATGATAAAAAATGCTGGGTGCATTTTAGGAATTGATTCGCAAATGTTTTGACTTTTTTTGTTGCAGACCATATTTCACAGTGTAGTCACACCATCAAAGAAAGAATCCATTTCAGGTAAATTCCAAGTGATTGTTACACAATTTGCCTCAACATTCGCTTTACAATTTAACCTTAGAGGACAGACCCCAATGACAGACCGAAAGTTCCATCATTGGAAATAAAAGATATTTATTTGAAATGCTAGTAAAGCTACATAGTATTTTACATATTAGTGATTTGCTCAGCAGGCCAAGTTGACCTCTTATTTAACAACTAAGCTTATGTTTTAACATCAAGCTTCTTGAATCTATACTTGCAGCTGATCCAGAGTTAGGCATTCCCCAGAGTGCATCATGGGCAGAAATGGTTGGTCGCAAGAAATCCTCCCAGGAGCTGAGAGCTCTGTGGCGCAAAGCTATCATGGAACAGATTTTACTCATCAGAATGGAGAGAGAAAATAACAGTTTACAGGGTACTTTGTAATAATTATAGTCGAGGATAATCTTGTTGTCAGACAACCAAATTGCCTCATACAGCATCATTTATGCTTATTTTTTCCTTCCAAGTGGTTTATAAAGCCTCTACCCCACCTTTGCCAGCTCTTTTAGGGGCAGCAGTGTACTCCACTCAGCTCTTCTGTTTAGCCAGGTTCTTTCCTCTGCAGTCCTCATAAATATTGTCCTGGATCTATTTTCTCCAGTATCCTTCTGGTGTCCCTGTTGATACAGGCCTATAGTTGTTGTGAAGCAAGCTCTTTCCTCAATATTTGGATGGCAAATTTTCAATTGTATCCCAGTTTGATCTTCTCCAGTTTTTGTAGTCCTCGCTCTCAGTAACAATTGTTGATATTCTTAGAATTAACACAACACTGGTGCACCATTTCCCAAAGGCCCATTTGGATCAATTATTGTTGATCCAGGTTCATTAAGAATAACCTTTTTTACGCAGTAGTTGAACCTTTGAACTGTTTTTTTTTTTTTTAGTTAACCAGAGTGTCATAGAAGCCAATATGCTGAAGCTCTCCTACAATGAAGACCCTCCGTGTTCTGATGTAGCAGCTGCAACTTGGAACAAAATTCTTGAGAATGGTGATGAAGCTGTTGACTTAAAGACTCTAACAGAAGCTGTCAAAGCTGGTAGGTAGACTCCAAGACCTTCCATTGCGCTCAAACTGCGGAGTATTGATTTTGAATCTAAATTTGAAAGGTTGATACACAGTAATCGCTTTGGATATTCCTACATTTAAACCAGTGTCTTGCGTTAATGATAAATTAGTGTAACTAGTGTAGAAGTCCTCATACATGAAAGAAAAATTTCCACATACATAACCATCAGAGATATATTTCTTATGTATTTCCTATGTATTCATTTATTGTGCAAAGGGATACCCAAAGCCAAAAGAGGTGAGATATGGGTGTTCCTTGCCAAGCAGCACAACCTACATTCACCTCCTGATGGAGAACAGCTATGGAGGGAAAAGACTTACCAGGAAATAAAGGAAGGCTCGACGTGTCACCAGCACTCCATCTTTATTGACCTCGGTAATTATGAAGGAGAACTATTGATCTCTTGCCACTCCTTTTGAGTTGAGAGAAGCTGAGTGAGGTAAACGCCTTGTCATATTCTCCTTTGATTTTGCGGTACTTTTCTCTTCCTAGGTCGCACATTTCCGAGTCACCCATATTTTTCTCCTCCGTTGGGTCATGGCCAGTTGTGTTTGTTTAACATCCTGAAGGCGTATTCCATTTTAGATGAAGAGGTTGGCTACTGCCAGGGACTCAGCTTTGTAGCCGGGATCCTGTTGATGCATATGAAAGAAGAGGAAGCTTACGACATACTGAGATTCATGATGTACACGCTTGGTGTCCGTAAGCAATACAAACCTGACATGCAAGATTTACAGGTAAAGGAACTTAGCTGAATAAATTGATATTAAAGCCTGTTTGTGAGACTGACTCGCACAGCGAGAGAGAGAGAGCATTTTACCATTTCAAGCAGCGACTAAAGCTCGAAAGAGCCTCTAAATTTGCGAAGCGAGCAAATTACCCTAAGCCCTATTCGATGGAACGGTGAAATGGCGGAACGTCCTACAACTCGGATTGCCTTGTTGTATGAAACGAAGTCTCACAAAAATGGATTTGCAATGAAAATAAGAAAGTATTTTATAATTAACAGGCAAAATTAACAAAGGAAACCTGGTTTAATTATTGTTGGAGCCTAGAGAATAGGCTTCTTGAAGAACGGTGAGGTCCTATAAGTTATCATTACGATTACTTTTATCATTACGATATCATTACGATTTTACTTTTATGTGAGCCGAAAGTGAGTTATTTTGGATCGTTTTTTACGCTGTTAATAATTTTGTATTGTGGAGGATTTTATGGAAATTATTGCCAAAACTTTTATCATTATTATTATTATTATTATTATTACTATACTCTTCAACCATCTTTCTCTTGTGGGACAGTGTACCCATAAATGTGTGGGATGCGGTTGCCGTAGCCATTTGCAGTCTTGAGTGTCTATTTTTTTCTTTTATTTCAGACACAATTTTACATGTTGTCGCGCCTGTTACATGATTACTACAAACCTGTCTACGAGTTTCTACTGGAGCTTGAAATCACACCCACTCTCTACGCCGCCCCATGGTTCCTTACGCTCTTCGCATCTCACTTCCCAGTAGGCTTTGTCGCACGAGTACTGGGTGAGTTGTGGCCTTTGTTAAATGATCGATGAAAGTTAGTGCTACATTGTCCTGAAAGAGATTTTGGGGGAAGAAATACTAAATCTCGTAAAGTTTTCTTTAAAAGCGAATTTGAAAAGAAGATGCGATGTCAACTGGGACCACCTTTCTATACCTTGAATTAAATTGTGATATTCCTACCAGATCCCTTGTTTTTGTTACTTTATTGTCGGTTTATAGAAATGCTCCTATCGATTCAAAGTTTCCATCCTTTTCAAGCAAGAAACTGCATTTTATCCACGCGTTTGTTGTAAGTAGTAGTTGTTGTTTTTCTTTTTTTAGATATGATGTTTCTTCAAGGCATGGAGGTGGTATTCAAGGTAAGTTAATCCAAGCACCTGTGCTGTCGTTCAACTGAAATCCTACCACAGTTACTTACTACAGCCGCCCACCATTGTTAGGTTTTTAATTTTGAGTTAGGAGTGAAGTTTTTTTTTGTGGAAGCTGCTTTTGTCATGAAAAGTTCGAAGGATCCGATAAGCGGACGCACGAGGACCATTACAAAACCCACTCGTACTGTTCTCCCTGGTCACAATTGATTACACAACCTCTTTATCGCACGCTCAGAATTTTAAAGCTTAAATTACACGTAATCACAAAGCAAACTAAAAAGCTCTCAGTTTGTCAGATCTGTACAGAGTTCATTCGGTCACGCAAGTGTCACATAATCGTTGAACTTGTCCACACTTCTTATGATATATATCGGCTTTACGATCATTTACCAGTTTGATCCCCCACCCCCTCCCCCCCTGCCTAACCAGCGCGTACCTTTTCATGGTAGGAGTCATGAGACGGAAAGGTAATTCAATAAACCGCAATTCACGTGCACAGACTGACCAAGATTTGTGAATTTCACCAGGTGATCCTGTTGCTGCTCGGGTCTTGTCAGGAAGAGCTTTTGGTTAGTGATGGTTTAGAGGGTGCTGTGGAAGTGATGAAAACTTCCCTGGCGCCATTTGCAGAACAAAACGTCGAATGGTTGGTCAGTCAAGTGCTCTCGTTTGATATCAGTAAAGATCTGGAGTCTTACGAGGTGAGTTGCCCATCGTAACTGTGCCAGTAAAGGGTAACAGAACCTATGACAAGGTGAATCCCTACTCCCCCCCTGGATGAGATAGTAGACCATTGCTGGTCACCCCCCTGTCACTCTCTCAAGTTGATTTGATAGTTCATTGCATGGGTACCCATTCATTCTCCTGAGTAGAAAGGGGCACATCAAGAGTTATTTCCTCCATACAGCTCCTTGTACATTTCCTTGGGCACTGACAAGAAGAATTTGTTTGACAATCGCACGGTTCTTCCATATCTGCCTTCTCTCTCAAGAGCAGCGTTTCTTTTTCTTTGTTTAATTCACGCCATTAAAAAATGGCAATTTTTTCCGAACAGAGTTGCTACTGTGAATTGGCCACCACTAAGAGGTTGTAAAATTCGGAGAGTTAACCCCCGCCTTTGTTGATCACAAAATGTTTTTTCGAATACTTTCTCTCTAGGTTGAGTACTGTGTTCTCAAGGAGGAGGACCTAAGCGTTGCTTCATTTGAGGTCATTGAAAGTGAAAAAGTAGATTCCTTGGAGGCAGAACTCGCCATCAAATCAAAACAGATTCAAATGCTGTCTGAGCAACTCTCCTGTGCCCGGAACACAATTCATGGCCTCGAGAGCACTATTAACACCATGCAAATTAATCAGAATGAACTCAAAGGCATCATTAGATCTCTGCGAGCGGAGAACGACAGCTTGACTAGAAACTTTGAAAAACTGAAAGCTCAGGTCCTTTCCAACGGCGATTTGTCCCCAAGAGTAGAAATCGCTGATCCTCTAGACGATAACGCGTCATCGATCGCGGACGGTTCATCTGAGTGCAGTACCATCAAGCCAACAAATTCTAACGAGGCAAACGCGAGTTCTAACGAAGAGAACACCGACAGTTTAGAGCACATCGGCAGCGGTAATGATCTTACGGACGACGAAGCTGATTCGGACGAGTTTATAGATGGAAAGCGTGGGTGTGACAGTGGGAGCCCTGCTTTAAGCGACAAGTGCGAAGACCTTGTCGTTAGTAGATAAGTTTTTACATCCTTTTTTTCCTGGTTTTTTTTTCTTCGAACGCTGGAACGACTCACATCAATTTATTTTCAGAGGACTTAACTCCATCCTGGCTTAGCAGACTGATATCGTGCGCATTTTTCGCGACTCTGTGTGGGTTCTTGCGGACCTTAAGAAATCAAATCACGGGGTTTACGTGACTTAGTTAATTTACTTTCGTGAGGATCAGCAACAAGTCCTACAGCCTAATAGTTTCATCCGCTACGGGCCCAGTTCACATCCACTTCATTTTTGTGACAGTAGTTTCCGTGATGATTTAAGTTTGTTGGTGTGCTTTAGTAAATTCAATTTTTTCTTTGTTTTTCCCCTCGTTTTTGGAGGGGCGAGGGGGTAAATTGTCTTGGAAACTGACCGTTAGATTCACTGTGATAAATGAAAAGAATGGTAAAACTGAAAATTAGCCCTTATTGCCTGAGTTCGGCCAATGGTCGGAGCGATAATGAGTTTTCTCGCTTTGTTTACATGCAGTTATTTGGTGTTCAGAGTATTTTACAGGCGCGTATTAAAACTAGTTTCAGTTCATCTATTGTCACGGAAAACTAGTCTCGCAACAAACGTTCGCGCGTGGACTTGGGCAAAAACTTTAGAATTTTGCTTTGCTCCTCACCGTGATTGGTTCATAGAACCCGCGTCAACCTCTCAACCAATCAGGGGCAAAACTAAAAACAGTAGCGCCGTAGCCACTCGCGTTTTCCCACGTCTTAAACATTTTACTTTGAGTTCTGATTGGCTTCTTGCAATGTTTTCCTCTGCCTTGATTGGTTTTTGTGATAGTATACTCTGTCCATTACCATTTTTCGTTCGCAAGGGAAGTACAGTGAATATTCACGTCAACTGACTCTAAACATTCTTTATCACTATGGACTTATTTCGTTGTGTTTCGTGTCTGTGGGAATGATTTAACTGGGGATCTTAAAATTAAATGAATATTTTTTTAATGTTTAAATCAGTCTTAAATGAATCTCGTCTTCGGCAGTACACCAAAGGAATGTAAACATTGTTTTTCGGAGAGAAATAGCGAAAACAACTCCGACTTTAGGTTGAGTTACGCCATAAAAAAAAAAAAATGCTTTACATGGACATTTGACAACAGTTTCTCAGTTCAAACGAACAGGAAACAGCAAACCAAAAAAAAAAAAAAGAACCGTTCTGATCGAAGATGGAGGAAGTGAAGAGGGATAAAAGTGAGATATTTTTTGAAAGGCAGTTTTGTCTCAGTTTGGCTCTGTCATGCAACACGCTGGATAGAGGAAGTGTGTTCCTTGATCCCCTTGCGTTTTGCGTGAAAGAAACCAAACATGTAGTGTAGATCGTTGTAGAAACTGGCGTAGCATTCAAATTGAGCTGTAGTAATTGTTTGTCTTGTATTTTCAATGTCATGATCCAGTAGGCCTTCTCCGCGAGCACTTATTTTAAAGCTCGTCACACAAGTTTTAGCTTTTGGAGCTGTCTTTTAAAAGCTACGGTTCCTTGACGAGTGAAGTAGATTTTGAGCGCGCTGAAGGACAACCTTGATCAGTGGATTAAAATGCCTGTAACATAGGCTGATATTAGAGTAGTATCTAATACAGAGTGAATAATAATATTAATGATATTGAATCAATTTGTTATGTTTATAAATTTGAGAGCAGAAGCAAAAAAATAGTTTATAATTTCCAGCTTTTTCTTTTGTACAAAGACCAACGCCATATTGTTTATGTATTTTTGTTTTGAAATTTGCAATTACGCCATCATGAAGTTGGATGGTTCGGTCGCAAATTTCGCAAAATTTATGATAAGTTGTGAATTATTTTTTAGTCTGTGCTATGCTGGTAATAACCAAAGCTGCTCCTCTTTCGTCACACGAGCATGCTAGTCATTCACCATCTATTTTCCGAATCAGAATTTTGAATTTAGCCAGGATTTGCCATTGGAATTCGATTGTGGTAAAAATGTTGTTGTTCACACGTTCCGTAGACATCGAAAATGGAAGGCCCCCAGGAGTTTGTAGTGAAAAACAAATTTCAACTGATAAATCTTTCCTGCTTCCATTAACAATTTTTTTCCTAAGACTAAATTTGTTCACAGACCCTTCCAACCATTAGTTGCATCGCAGAATTGGATGAAATTTTGCGGAGAAAATCTTGTTCAAACTTCAATCCGGTTTACGATCTTTACTTTATACTACTTAGCAAAAGATTGCAGCAACAGCAGCTTTCGTTACCAGCATAGACAACGGAAAAACATACGAATGAAAATCAAAACAATATAATTGTTGATGTAATTTTATTTTTCAAAATAATGACTACTTTGTATTTGACTAAATTTTCTTTGGATTCAGATGTGAAATAAGTTAAATTGATTGGGATATCTTGTAAAATTGTGACTGTTAAAATAAAATGTTGGAAGATTGACTCGTTTGTTGAAGTACTAAATGGTTAATCAGATCTTGGTGTAAGCTAGGTTATGGTAACCAAGACTGCCACAAACATCTGTTCTAAACAAAATAAACCAATCATTGTAAAGGAAACAAAAAAGGAATGCAAGCTAAACGTCTGTGTTGTAGTTCAATTTTATCCTTGGTTCAAATTTTATTTTCCTTTGTTTCAAACTCATTATCATACGTTAACATGACCGAGAACAAGGGAAAATAAAATTTGAGCCAAGTATAAAATTGAACTACAACATCTACACCCTACATCAGCGTGCATATTCTCCATACTTTCTCCGTACATTTCCTAAGGTGCTTACAAGGAGAATTTGTTTATGAATCAAGAGCTATTTCAGTGATCATTTTCTTTATTCTCATATTTCTTTATTGTCACGACCTTAATGTTTGATTGGGGAAATAACAGATGCGTATCACACGTAGCGTTTAAATGGTTTATTCAATCAAGCCAATCATTTCTGAGGACTTAAACATAAGATAAATGAGAAAGTGACTGGGATAGTAANAAATAACTGAATTTTTCGGGTTTTCAAATTATAGGGCAGTTTCATCAGAGTGCTCCTTTAAAGTAAAACCCAAAATAATGAATAGAGGAGGCCAGCAAAAGCATGGAGGCTCTCTTGAAATTTTGTGCATCAAAACGTTCAAAGAAAGAGCCAGAATATTTATAGGAAAGGACCATAAAGTATACCTTTCAATCTTATTGTTGGAAGCACAATTCAAGCAAACCTTCTGAAAAACACACTGATTGTCAATCACTTACCCAGCTGTACTTGCCATGGTTTAAACATCATGTTTGTAGTCACTGGACATTTTGGTTTCTGGAGTTCTGCGACAAATGACAGAAGAAATAAATACAATCATCAAATGAACAAAAACACAAATAAAACACACGTCATGGTACCTCAAAGTAATTAAACTTAACCACAACGACAGTTACCCTGTTAGCGAGAGATCAACCATCACCAAATTATCATTTTTAGAACCCAAGATTTCATTTCCATTTCATAAATGATGATTCTTGTTTTCGTGTGAGTAAGATCAAAGTATAAGATATTTAACAATTATTCCACGAGCGTGCGTTGGATATGAGATGATAGATAGCCAACGAGGCGCGTAGCGCCGAGTTGGCTATAATCATCTCATATCCAACAAACGCGGGTGGATTAATTGTTTTATTAAAAACGTTAAATTAAATCATTAAATTTTATTCAATTTTTTAGCTACCTTTTAATTTTGAGCTGACGCGTGCGGTTACCATATTTGTAGATTATGGTATATTGGTTCATATACCATAATGGCTAAGCCAATAAAAAGTCTTGAATTGCATTATCCAGTTTTTGATAATTATAAATATACACGCACCCATCGACGAAAGTAACATGCACACATTCCTGAACGTACACACTCGAAACATGTCAACACAAGCATGTTCTCCCATTCCCCAGTCAAACTTCCAACTTACTGATTCTCGACATTTCGTAACTGGCCTTAAATCCAGGATATTTCGCCTCTCCACTCGATTTAAAAGCCACGTGTAAGTGCCAACCACCCGAAGTTGCCGCTGAGGGTTTTGCAGGGTCCATAGTATCTCCCTATGAGGTCGCTTGTGTTGGACGGTCGATCTCGCACCTCCAAATAGTCCTCAGTACAATTCTTTGCTTGAGACAGATTAAAGAACTAGAAGGACAGCTTAAACTAGTTGATAAACTATTTAAGAATGTTTTACAGAATGAACAGAACAAGCTCCATGAACTTCTTCCTACTCGCAACACAGGTACCTTTAACCTAAGAAATATGCGGAAGTTGAAGCCAGTTTTAAGACGAACAGGTTTCGTAATAGTTTTATTACCTTCAATGCCCTTAAGGCTTGAACGGTTTTATACAACGGTTTTTTTTTTAGAACATATATTCAGTGTCCTTATTGCTGTTTTAATACATTTAGTCTATTTAACGTAATTATCAATGTTTGAAACTTGAAAATAATCGTATAATTCAACTTTTGGTTGCAAATCGGTTAATAAACTATGTATCTATCTATCTATCTCGTTGATGTGCCAGATGCACTTAATAGAGTCAGCATATGGCAGAGGGTATTTGAAACTGGCCAATATTCCATTCTTGGACATTAACAAGAACTTTTGGTTTGTGGGCAGGGCAAGAAAAAGGAGCTGGTTCTAAAAGGAAGGAGAACGAAATAGAACCATTTTTAATGTTGTTACATCTTTGAAAGGACGATTCTGTGCTTTAAGATCATTTCTCCACTTGGTTTTATCTTTGAATCTGATGGGTCGAGAGGAATATCACAAGGAGCCGATGAGAACACAAAACGCGAATGGCCAAAACACGATTGGTTTCACTTTTGAATCTGATTGGTTGTTTCACGAGTTTTGTGCACCAATCACGGAGAGAAGTAAAATAGAACCAAGGCAATACCGGGTTGCTTTCAACACTCATTTGAATATTGCTCTGAATATGATCACACCCAGCGAAAAAACACATTGGCTGATCATCTCAAAGAAAACATCAAATCCGGTTCCTTTCAGGGATTCATCTTTTGCAGATCCAAAACAAACCCAAAGGTAACGACCGCTGGAAAACACCGAGGACTCAAACGTGCTTCCACAGAAAGTCTCGAGTAAGTCACCGGAAGTTGTCTGAACGTCACAAATTTTTAAAGTAGCTTTAGTACACGTGCTGGCTTGGAGAAAAGAGGTAATCCTCAACTTGACAAAATGTCCTTCTGGTATTGTTATGATCCGGCCATGTACACTTCCTGTCTTTGACACTGTTTGTGGCGCATACAGTGGCGAAAAGAATCCTCCTTTTTCTCCTGTCAGAGGAATGATGTTATTTTTCCCTTGACCTTCACACAGTCTCTGTAATTTTCAAAAGGAGAAGTTTCAAAGTTTTCTGGTTGGTATTGTGCCCGAAGCACTTTTATCCGATCAAACGCGTTCCTTCTCTTTGGCAGTACAGAGACGCCTCCACGCTCACAACGAATTACACAGACATGCACCCATAATCTTTCACATTCACGTGGGATGGGTGGGATATTGGGCGCACTTAATTTGGAGCCTAACTCTGTTGTGCGACCCTCACCACACTCTGGTGAAAGTGATTAAATAAATTAAATAAATAAACATTCCGGCAGTCCTTCTTCAAACAGGTCCGCACGCCAGCTACGCTTCCTCAGGGTTTTCCTTTTCCTAGTCCCCTCTCCCCCAAGATAGAGGGTGCAAAGTATGAAGACGTTGGAACGCACTCACGCATCCTTCCACATCCCTTTGGAAAGAAGAAGCTCTCACAAAGCAGGACGGTCGGGTGTTTGTCAGACATTTTGTCAGAAATCCCACCGAAAGCCAACTATAGCTTGGCTCGCGCTTCACAGACTCTTACGAAATATCACGTGAAAGACGACCGTAAAATTAAGTATTATTAGGAATTTAATTTCCTTTCCACCAAAACCTAAAAAACCACGCCATAGCTGTCTCATTTCTTCTCACCTAGCCATAAGAGATATCTTAACACTTGGTTTTGGGCATATTCCGTGATTTGCACCCTTAAACTCTGAGCTCTTGAGGCCTGAGACCAACGAGAAATTTTTTATCCTCACTATTATCAGTTATTATCCTTTTTTTCAGTATACAAGAAAGGTATAGAAATAAACGAAAATAAAGCATCCTTCCGTTCCATTTAAGACATCTATCCTCGCATGAATTTACTTACTCGAGTCCTCTAGTGTTTTGTAGCTGGCCGTGAATCCGGCATATTTCACATTTACACTGGACCGAAAAGTCACGTGCCAGTTTGAAGCAGTCGCCGGAGGTTATCGGTGGAGGATTCTCTACTCCACAATACTTTCCTGCTGGCTTACTGTGTATGGAAGCCGCCCATCCAGTACCTCTACGTAGTCTTCAGAACAGTCAGGAGCTTGACTTAGATTGAAGAAGTCAAATGACAGTACTAGCCTGATATTGTAATCAGCGTCCACATTGATAGACCACATGCACATAACGCTATCGTCAACAGGTACAGGGTAATTGTAACTAACCAGGATTCCAGTTTTAGACTTCAACTCGATGCCATGATGTGAGTTTTGCGCGGTGCAGGAGAATGGTGCTGGCACTAAAATATCATTGATTATTATAAATAAGTTAAGACAATTATGACTATGTTGGATGTACATGCTCACATTCTCCCCCACCCCCTCCCCCCCAAAAAAAAACAAAAGGGGGTATAAATATTATTTGGAGGTTAGCTAAGAAGCCTTCTTGTGTGACTGTTCATAAAACGATAAAAATTCCAGAATATTTTTCAGGTACTCATGGCTCATTCTAGATTTCACAGTCGTTCATGAGATCCATCTACGAATGAAATCTGTGGGTAAATATACAAAATGTGATTAATAAAAGTACGGCTTACACTGGCTGACCATTTCGATGGCAATAGCAGAAGGGAGATCAACATCGCGCTTCACCGACTGAAAGCGGACCCAAAGATGGCGACCACTGGAAAACACCGAGGGCTCGTAGGACACGTCCATGAGTTTTGACCATTGTGAATGTCAAGAGTGTTTTTGCACCCATATCCTAGACTGAAGGGTGTTCTTCTCAACCTCATGAAGTGCCCTTTCGGCACTGCTATACTCCAAGTACACTTCATGTCTTGTGGAAATTTCTGTGGATACATGGGCGAAGCCGCTGTGAAAGGAAAAAGAAAACTCTAACACTGATTTTTTAATGTGCTTAATTCGTAGTCGACAAGCAGCTTTTATGGAGAAAGCAAGTTTAAACCATCTTTAACAAAAAAATTTTAAACATGTTTAAGCTTAGGTGTGAACGGGGTAAAAGCTTAGAGGCTAGAGCTCTCTGTGATTGAGTATCGTGAAAGCCCCTAAAAGGCAGCCACAAAGACCAATCAGGAAAAAAGGCGCATATCACACGGAACCAATTCTCACTCATTCATGATTTACCTCCTTTTTTGTTATCCCTATGTATCATAATTATAGCATTGTTTTACTTAATATTTAATTCAACTTCCAAAGCTTTGCATGTACAGTAATTGACTGAAGATGACGGAAGTTTCTGTCGAAACATGTATTACAGACTCAAAATTTTTGTCGCTTTATTTAAATTCTTGACTTACCTGCTCCTGCTAATATCAAGACCCTTTGGAAATTTGACTTTCCACGCATTAGATTAACAAAAATCTTCTAACTGTAAATCAGACTGTTTTGATTAGACAGGGGTTTTGGCATTCGGTGGGACGGTTTTGTGGTTCTACAGTACCCGAAGCTATTTGTTACAAAAAGCTCTGGAAAGTACCCAGGATTTCATGCGAGCCACACAGCGGTCCTTGATCGTAAGCGGTTCGTAATACTTTTACAGAATAAAAAGTAGTTTTGACTGAGTGTTGAAAGTAATCCAGTAGTGCATCAGGTTTGCTTGAACTCTTTCTGTAATTGGTCCAGAAAATTCTTGTCACTTTCTGAAGCATTCCGGGATATGAAACAAATCACGAGATGATCAGTCGCATTTTCCCGCGCTTTTACCGCGTTTCTTTCTCTTCTATTTTGAGTCAAAGGATAGTTTTAGATTTACATGGCGTAATTGTTGATTCTGGGATGGTTGTTTTATTTGAATATGAATAGCCTCTTTCATCTTAAGTTGAAAGCCGGTAGATGCGTGATCTAAACTATGGAAGTTATCTGCTGAACATAAAGCGCGACGATGTGGAGAATCTTTCAGATGCCTGAAAATGTGAGAGGCCCTGTCACTGACTAAGTGCTCTCTGATACGTGTGGAAAAATGTCGGCAGGTTTCATCGACGTAACAGGCATCTACAGCCAGCACTTATAAACCACACGTGAATGGAGCCCGTCTGGGACAGGGTCTTTCACACCAAACAAGTTACCGATTTTGAAGGAAGAGAAAACCAGTTTAATATCAAAGTCATTGCAATAGCGCTTAATAAAATGGCGGTTCTTTTTTTGAATGATAGCAGAAAAGTGGCCTATGTAGGGTAGCTTAAAGTAAAAGGTAGGTGAAGTGGTGGGATGGGAACCCCGGGGATGATGATTGCTTTGGGTTTCCAGTGATGTAACGGTTTATAATCTTCTCGATTAAATGGCAGGGAAAAGGTTCTTTTTTAGAATATCAGTAGGTTTGTTAATGTCCTCGTGAAACCCTGACCAGGTGTTATTAATCTTGCAAGCCGTATCAACGAGTGTCTTAATGACACCCACTTTGTACGAATACGAGGTGAAGCTGAAATAATTAGTTAGTAACCCGGTGAAAGTTTTCTTGCGGTAAACCGTAGTTAGAGAGGAATTGGGGTCATGGTTGTCAATCAGGTTGTCAATCAGGTTGTCAATCAGATAGAATCGACCGATGGTGCTAAGATGACTCTAAACAGTTTATTAAATACGACCTCATCAGTAAACTGAAGAATCACGTGATTGGTTGCAAGTCGCGAGTGATTTTACTTTTGCATCTGATTGGTTAAATAGATGGCCCTTGTTTATTCAACCAATCACAGAGCAAAGTAAAGCAGAACCAAAGCAACAACGGATTACATTCGAGACGATTACAACTTGCTCTATTACTTCACCTCCTTTATGTTGAAAAAATCACCGTTGTAATCCCCGCTGTTAATAAAATTAATCATATGATAATATAATTGACTTTAGAAAAGCGATTACAATCAAGTTTGATTACTCTGTAAACTGTTTATGGTAAAATACAGCAATGAAATTACTTCATCTATCCGGCTTTCCTAAGCTTTAGGAATACTGTTTGGTGTTTTCAACACACGGTCCTCATGGTTACAGTCCAGGTTCCAATGATATTTCTGGGACGAGAGCCAGGGAACTGGATCTAGTTTTGGAAGTCGAGGCTCCACGATGACTCGACCCAGTTCTTTCTGGTCGCTTCTAAATTTGTCAAACCTGCGCAATTTTAGCGTAAGCCGGAAGTTAACATGATCATCGATGGTGTCATGTACTTTTCTTCGTTGCAGCTCTGAAATTTGGCATAGAGTAGGTATTCGAGAGGGCAGATCAGGAAGAAAAGGCCAAGGTTGTTTATTTTACCAGCTCTTAGAGTTATAAAGACCACTGTGCAGGTTTTCAAAAACTGCTTGTTTGGTTCCTGGCGCGTTCCCCTTCATGCCCAGGGTTGTCTGTGCCTTGCGTAGCTAAAACAACACCAGGTTGACCCTGGTTATGACTCTTGTTGCAATAACGGCAACAACCGGCAACTATAGTACACAGGAAAGAAAGTGCTCCAAGACAAATCCCAACGATCTTAAGAATACGAAGAGTTGAATCTGAAAGGAAAAAGGAAAAAGCAGGAAACATGGTTGCTGCTAGAACAGCAAAGTACCGTGAAAGCAATTTTTACCACCAGAGCACACTACGAGCTTTGAAAGGTTGCACCATAAGTCTGCTCTGTCGATGAACTCCAATTACAGACCTGGAGCCCGTTTCCCGAAAGTCCCGTTGCGCTGTTCTGTTTTCATTCGCGATGGGGCTTTAAAAAAGTTTTGAAAATTATAGAATAAATTTATCATCTAAAGAAACAAAATGGCCTGGTTAGAGTGCCACAACCTGCTCCTCTGTTTTTAAAATTTAAGATATGGCTTCGGGTCCGTTAAGTTACCGGGACTTTCGAGTAACGGGCCCCTGCTCACCATTTCATAGCAAAAACCCGCTAACTCATTTTATCATTCTTGCAAACTGACGCGCATAACGTACAACGCGCTGAAAACCGTAATGCACGCGCAAACCTTCCCTACGAAAAACAGCACGCACATTATAAATCTTTCCTGCCTTTGCTATTGCAAATTGGTCTCGGAATATTCACCTACCCTTTTTGGTTTTGTAGGTGGCCTTGAACCCAGGAAATTTCGTCTTGCCGCTTGATTTAAAAGCCACACGTAAGTTCCAAGAATCCGAGGTTATTTGCGAGGGTTTCTCTCCTCCACAGTACTTTCCAACAAGGTCGCTGGTGCTGAACCACCCATCTTGCACTTCGACATAATCCTCAGAACAGTGGCTAGTCTGGGATACATTGAAGAACTCGAAAGACAATACAATTTTGGAATCAGTGTCTACACTAATGGACCAGATGCATTCTACAGAGTCGTCAGATGGCAGAGGGTAGTTGTAACTGGCCAGAGTTCCTGTCTCAGACTTCAACTTGATGATTAAGTTCCCCGCTGTGCAGGAAAACGGAGCGGGTACTACAAGAAAACGAGATGAAGGCCATGGAATTGTGTAAAATTCGACTTTGCTTTTATAGCGAAAAATGTTATAAAAGTGCATTCAGTCAAAAATAAGTGATCACACTCAAATCTACAATGCATAGCTCACAAACAGCTTCAACAGTGGTCGTGACAAAAAGGAAAAATCAAATGAGTCCAGCATGCGTTTTGCATAGCTCTTAGGTTGCTGGAGTTAGATTTGTAACGTCGTAAAACAGCAGCCAGGCTTCTAAGCAAGATTAAGAATGGCGGCATCCACAGGAAAAAAAAAATGAAGCAAATTTGAGTTTGCTCTAAAGAATCTCAAAAGGCTGTTGTGGTCATGATTTTATATACACTTTTCTGTGGTGAAGTAAGAAGCTTTTTCCGAGTTTCTGAAGCGCACATCTCCTTTAGAAATTTGAATTATTCCGTTGCAACCTCAAAAAGAGTTGATATCGTGATTCGGGAACGTGTGCTTTCGATCTAGAGGACGGACGAAGGCTGATTCATTTTCTCTAACAACAGTTACCTCTAGTAGAATAGCAACAATGATATCAGCAAAACTTACATTGGCTGACCATCTCAAAGAAAGCATCGAATCCGGTCCCGTACAAGAATTCATCCTTGTCGGAATGAAACCGCACCCAGAGATGGCGACCGCTGGAAAATACCGATCTTTCAAAGGAGCTTCCACAGAAATTCCTGAGCAAATCACTGGAGGAACTCTGGCCATCACGAATTTCCAAAGTTGTCTGTTTGCAAACGTACGCCAGTAAGAAAGAGGTTATTCTCAACTTGACAAAATGGCCCTCTGGGACTGATATGATCCACGTGCACCTCATATCGTTAGGAAATGTCTCTGGGTACAGCGGTGAAAACAGTCTTCCAGTTTTCCCGCTAAGAGGGATAACGTTATCTATTCCTTGAGTTTTACATGGTCCCATGGCGGCTAAAATGATAAAAGAGAGCCTCAAATATCCAAGCTTCATTGTCCGTGCCTTTTTCTGGCGCACAGTGGTAAATCCCCACAATACCGATATAAGAAAAAGCGGCTTTGTGTTCGAAAAGTCTCGAGTTTTCCTTTTCCTAACTTTTGTTTCCTTTTACAGATTTCTATGAAGGTTTCAAATCTTATTCTACTTTTCGTGAGACGACGGTTGTTCAATAAGTTTTCCTGAGAAATTTTGCGCGGGAAATGGGAGCGTAAGCGGCTGAAATTGATCCTATCGCGCATGCCCCATGTCTGACCGCTGTGTTTCAGTTTTGCTAGACCTATACATTACTCCACAGTCATTTGTTTCGTTTGACTCTCGAGTGAACAAGTTACGATTTGTTTTGGTTTTGCATGAAATTTTCAGACGAATCATAAAGCAAAGCTAAGTCAGATTGGACACCTGAAAATTACTCTACTTACGATCAGGAACTGCTTTGAAGCTTGCGTGGAATCCTGGGTATCTTCCTGAGCTGTCCGCCACAAAGTCCACTCTTACTACAGAACGGTTAGACTGAATCACTGCGGGTATCGATGAACCGCAAAATCTTCCAAGTAACTCATCAGCTAACAAATATGATTTTCCCTGTTTAATCTCAACATAGTCTGCAGCGCAGCCTCGCGATTTCTGTAACTCAAACGTGTGAAAAGTCAAATTCACGATAAATCCAGCTGGGACTTCAATAGTCCACGAACATTTAGCATCATTGGAGTAGGAAAGAGGGAACTGGTAACTAGCAAATTCACCATCAGTGCCTCGTAATGTTTTTGGCAGGCCATATTTGTCTGATTTGGCACAAGCGTATTTGGCAGGGATACTCTTAACAGTTTCGTATGTCGCCAAAAACCCTACAGTAGTAGAGGCATTCAGGAGATTTACATGGGTAACTAGCAAACTGCTTCCTCGCGAGTACACTTCTACATCGCTATGAGCTACATCACAGAATTTTTTGAGGGAAGTCCGAGTGGAATTTGCCGTATCAAAAATCTCCACATAACTGTAATCGCAGGGTGTTCCTGTGAATAACGACAGAAACGTAAGTTTTATCAAGTTCCCTTCGGATACTGATATATTCCAGTTACACTGGCCTTTTCCAGGGTAGAGGGGAAACCCTGGAGTTGCAAAGGTCATCCCCTCAGCCTCCATATGTACAGTGGTGTTGTTGCTTGGGATGCAAACCCCTGATGATTCTGTAAAAGTCAAATGGGATTCAGAGTTAGAAAAAAAAAAAAATAATAACACTCACACCCAAATAGACTCGAACGCAATCACAAGATATGTGCAGACACATGGAAGAAGACAACCAGCCCACAACAATGACTTCTGTTTCCCGGTACCCTTTTACTCTCAGCTAAGGTCAAAAGGTTCTTTTACAACGAAATATAATCGTTGTCTTATGATGCATTCACTTTCGATGTGGATCGCGATGTTTCGACTGCATACTGCGAGTCTTCGTGAACAAAAGTGCTCACAAAGATGAATACAGGCGACCTTTCTTACGATATAAATTGACCTTTTGTCTGTCACATCAGTTAATCAAGGCTAAACCTTGCAATACTGGTTATCTTAGCGACCAGATATAAGGGACCTTACACACTCGTGACAGTGACACGGTAGAAAACAGTGCGGATAGACAAATGCGCAACGAATTCCACGAGTAGCTCGATGTCTATAACGAGACCTTAACATCAGACCTCCTTTTCATACAAATGGACCTCTTAGTCTACTTGGGAGAAACCTTCGAAATGTTTTCTGGAGGTTCTCATTCTCGGACTGCCCAGAAACGACAAATTGTCAGGTTTTTTTTTTTTTTTGTAGGAGGACAACTCAATAATGTTCAAAGTTTTTAAACGTACTTGCAGCGCCTTAGTCGTGCTCGTTTGATTTAATCGTTTGTTTCAAAACATTCTCGATGTTGCCGCCGCTCTAGTACGTAAGATACCCGGGCCTATAAAGTCAGCACTTGGGAAGCGTTTTTTTTTTTTAAGTCACGCAAAGTTCCCTTCTTCACACATGACATTTTACGTGACGTTCCAACCTGTCCTCCTTTGCTCTTACCTGCAGGTATGGTGGTGTAATTTGCCATGAATCCCTGTCCAGGTTCAAAACCATACCCTTCTGATCCCTCGATACCAATCTCGTTTGTCATTGAGTAAAGTAGAAACGAAGGTTTCAGTCCACATACACGCGTTTGCGTTGGAATTCTTCTATTTATTGTAAAGAAAATCGTCAAACATGTTCCATATGGTGGAAGTCGAAAGGATAAAAAATCCACACGTAGAATATTTCCTTCAGGCGCTAATATTTTCCAGAAACACTGTTTTATCAATTCCCGCGGGTAGCTTGATGGATACTCCGGGCTTGTTATGACACCCGAAGGATTCTTCAACACAATATTCCTATTTTCATCCAAGGAGTTCTTAGATAAACAGGCGCCACTACAGATATAATAATAAAAACATTATCAACAAAATTCTATTAAAACAACAGCTCCCTTCCCCTGGGTTTTTAAAACTGCTTCTTCCGAAAGATAGCCTTGTTGGGTTGAAGGTTTATGGACAAGTAAAGATAAAAAAAAAATTAAGAATAAATCAAAAAGGGTTGCATTTCTCTCTCACTAGTAGGATTGCTCCATGAACCTTTAGTCTCTCGGGCCTTTGCTGTAATCGCGTGGGAATCAAGCTAGAAGACTACCCGCATATAAGCTCACTTCCACGGTTTCAAAGGAGACGCATTCCATAGAAACAGATAAATTTTTCATCTCCACCACATCAAAGTGCATATTGTAAAAATTAAGTCACTGGTGGGCGGCCACATTGCTAAGCAAAATACAAAATGGCTGCGCCCCGGCATACCCGATTTCTGGTAGTTTGTAAAAAGTTAGGCCAATTCTTGAAATTTCAAAACTCGGTCAGTGTTATGATTTTATATCAACCTTTCGATGGTAGAGATGAAGACTATGTTGCTTCCGGAACATAATTCTTCGTAAAGAAGACGACCAGATCGTCTGACATTTTGAGAATTTTTTGCGCCATCAAAAGCAACCAGGCGCTGTAAAAGTTATGACTACTCCCAGGGGATACGGCCCAGGGTCTTAAAAGAAACTGAGAGGTATTACCATAGCAATATGGTCTTCATGAAGGATCTAGTCTCCAGGATTGATGTTCTTCTGGTCCGATGTACTTACCATATATTGGAATAACAGTTAATGCCTATTGTATCGGTGATTCGGTTATATAAGGCTTTCATATCGGGTTTACGACCTATAGGATAACTTGGTTTTATCGACTGAGTTAATAATGTAAATTGGCCTCCATAAAGAGCCTTTTAGAGCGTCAACCCTACGTCGATCGAAACATCAGCTTCGGAAACTTTCTACGGTAGTCAATTGACATTATTAGCTCTGTTGATGAAACTAAATTATCTTATATAACCCCGACCGACGTCGCACCTCCTTTTGAAACTTACCCTCTTTACGATCCATAGGGTTTGCCAGGAGCAACCCCATAAACCACGCCTTCCCTTTTCATCGACCCATCCCGACCATCCCCCATCAAATGTTCCTCAAAAATAAAGTTGCCCTGTGTAATTACCTGGAGTGACGGCCGAGTAAAAAGCATAAAATTCCTCTTCTATGTCAATCGTTTTAACTTCACTCTTGAAAATGATGTACAAACGGCGGAACTTGGAATATATAGTAGTTGAGTACGAACGTCCAGGCAGACGCGCAGTGAAACGGGCAACGAGGCTGATCGCAGAGCCATCCACATCGTAAATCGCTACACTGTCAAAGTACAGCTTGTACTTAAGACGCAGCGCCACGATGTGGTTCTCTGGCGCCGTGATATACCATCCACAGGTTGTGTTTAAGCGATAACCAAAAGGCACGGAGGGGCTAGAGAAGTTATGTTCCACAGGCGATAAAGGAGCAGTCTATGTGGTGTTGAAGGAACACTCTAGAAAGAATGATTATTGTGCACCGACTTTGAGAACTCTCAGTCAAGAGACACAATTTCGTATACAGTCCCTCCTTGGCCAGAGTTTGAAGCTTACAATACCCCTCCTGTTTAAAACTTCAAGTTGCAAACACGCCTCTCTCTAATAAGCCTCTTTCTCCCTCCCACTAAGGCAAAAATTTTATTATTGTTCTACATTTGGTCTCAGTAACAAGTACATGTACCTAAAAAGCCTTTGTAAGATTCTCTTTATATCAAAACATCTTAGATTTTTCAACAAGAGAAACACATTTCATACACAGTAGTCATCAAAAAGTTGTTAAAAACAAAAAGTAATGACACACAGTCCATTCTGGCTCTCATAAATTACTTTTCAAAAGCCCCCCCGCCTAACACATCCCCTTTTCTACTCCCGAAGGATACGGCCTTGAGTCTTAAAATAGCCTGAGAGGTACAAACAAGCCGATCGGGTCCCTATGAGGGATCAAGTCTCTTAGCTTGACGTTCTCTTGCTCTGTTACACTTACTATTAAAGGCTTGCTGTATCAGTGTTTCGGTTTTGTACGGGTCTCATGTTTCGGGGCTATATACAATCCATAGGGTTTGGTAGAAGCACCCCATTGAAAACACCGCCCACCCCTACCCCCCTTCTTTATATCAACAGAACCTCATCGAGTGTCCCTCAATTCAAATCTGAATTTGCCCCTCATACATACTTGGAGTAATGGCAGAGTACGAAGCATAAAATCTTTCATCTGTGTCAACTGTTTTCACGTTACTTTTGAACAAGATGTATAAACGGCGGAACTTGGAATATATAGTGGCTCTGTACAAACGTCCTGGCACACGTGCAGTGAAACGGGCGACGAGGCTAGTCGCAGAGCCCTCCACATCATAAATCTCTAGGCTGTCCATGGATAGCTTGTACTTGAGATGCAGCACCACGCTGTGGTTCTCAGGCGCTGTGATGTACCATCCACATGTCGTGCTTAAGTGATAACCAAGGGGCCAGTAGGGACTCGAGAAGTTATGTTCCACAGGCGACAGGGAAGCATTCAATGTGGTGTTGAGTGAACACTCTAGAGAGAAAGATTGTCGTAAACGCTTTAAGAGCTTCAAGTTTCTAATATACAATCCCAGGCCAGAGGTTGAAGTTTCCAATACAGCCACCTCCCTGTCCAAAGCTCTAAGCTTCTTCTAATAAAATGATACATTAACATTTCTATATAGCGCAAATTAACATGTGTATATGATCAAGTGCGCTTTACAATACTGTGCGGAAGACTTTACCAGACTGCCAGTGGCAGTTTACAATCAACAAAGGCGAATTTTTTTACAGATGCCCCCTCTCCCCTATTCAAAGTAACCAGGCCAGACCACATCACAGTAATCTCGTGATGTGCGTTCTTTAACGTCCCCTGCCTAATCGAATTATCTAATTAAAGATACAGGAGACGGAACCTAGGGTTTATTCGTCCTTATCCGAGAAGACTAGAATGTCTATCCATTTCTTGATATAATAGAAAGGTAGCACATTCTCCTCAGTTATTTTAAGACCACGAGTGTTGGTCCGGGCGGGGCTCGAACCTTCGACCTCCCGCACAACAGTCCAGCGCTCTTACCAATTGAGCTAACCGGGAGGCCCTATCTCTAATAAGTCCTGCTTCTTTCTCACAAAATCTCCAGAACTGTTATCCTTTCGGTCTCGGTCTCAGAAGAAAGCATTTAAAATCCGTTTTAAGTCTCTCTATATGTGTAGAATGATGTGAGTTAATTGGCCAAATACACCCCCTTTTCCTCAAAACTCCCCCACTTTCTAGTGAGCGCCCGTCTCTAAAAAGCCCCTTCTATGATGAGCCCCTGTTCCCTGAAGCCCCCTCACATCTGAACGCCCTTGAAATTAAGGTCTATTCAGAACATTTTCGGTATTTGGAACCACAGGAATTGCATGAATTCCGAACGGGGCTGTACTTAGCACTCTATATTAACGTACCAACTAAATTAAGACCCACCTTTCGAGCTACAGTCTTGGATAATTCTTGAACTAAAAGTCCAACTTTAAATGTCCGCAACTGTTTCGGAAAAACTAGGTTCGACAAATCTAGGCCGGTTCAACGTGCAAATTCTAACGCTTTCAAACAAACTGGCTCCCAGTTTCTATTTGCAACAAATTTAAAACCATCTTCATCTCTATAATTACGATTCCTCTTACCTTCAAATGGTATCGCCTTGTAAAAGATAAGAAAGAAGCTGTTAGAGTAAAGAGGTCCCCTTTTCGTCTCGATCCACACACTTCGGTCACTGGACGAGAACTTTATGATACTAAAGGAAACATTTAGACTGCAGTATTCTGCTATTAAACTACTTGACTCGCTTGGCCCGTCGTGTATCTTTAGGTACTCGTCACCACAGGCCCTATTAAAGAAGAAGATTCTCGCGTCAATGCTGAGTACCTTCCCACCGGGTGCCGTGATGTTCCACTGGCAAGTAGAATTAAATGGAGGCGAAACAGTTCCATTTCCAAGTAGGCGGCTGTCTTCTGTGGCTGTTAAAGTGGCGGTCGAGCTCTGATTGGCAGTACAACCTGAAAATGTATTAAAATCATTGAAATATTAAGTTCAGGTAGGATTTCGAGAGAAAGTGCTTAAATCGATTAAAGGGTTTTTTACAACTCCTTTTCAGCAAACCCAAGAGCAGCTACAAAGATTCTGGGATCAAAATTGATGATATCTTACACCACAAAAATTTTTTTTTGCCTTCACCACCGCTGCTTCATTCCAAGAATCAATCAACAAGCCCTTTGTTAAAATGTTAGAATGCGCAAAAAGACTGGGATACCCCTGGGTGATTTGCGAGATAAAAGGGTGATAAGGGAGCCTCGGGGCTTTGAGATTGCCTCCTCCCTCTCCAAAATTTCCGGAACGAGCCATTGTACGTGAAATCCTTCGCGATTCGTTTCCTGCCCAGAGGTAGAACAAAAATACGATAAAACAAACACTTGTCGCTGATCTCGAGGAAACCAAATTTCAAACCAAACTGGTGATATACTTCTTCCTCCCTACCCATCCCCCACTCCAATATCACACCAGCTACCCGGTTAAGAGAAGATTTTGCCTCCTTATGTCCTTATGTTCAATTTACAGCCAATCTGCAGTTTGATAGCCAAATATATCATTCAGGCGGAGGAATGTCAGTCGGGCCTGTCGTAATGAATGATGAAAGATTGCTCACTCTTCAACGGTCTATCTAAACCAATACTCACGGTCTTAAAATAAGCGAGGAGAATTTGCTACCTTTCTATAATATCAAGAAATGGATAGATATTCTAGTCTTCTCGGATAAGGACGAATAAACCGTAGGCCCCGTCTCCTGCAGGGTTAGGGGTAGGAGACGTTAATTTCCCACGCACAGGATTACTGTGTGGTGGATGTCCTCCCCTGGGTGGGATAGGAGGGAAGGTGAGATTGTTACATGGACTGAAGCGGCTGCCAGAGGCGCCTGATAATGCTGACGCCCGATCTCAACCTTATCATTGTAACTAGACACGTTTGTTGTTTAGAGTGCTTAGGACTTTCTTTCTCTAAACAAGACCCAAAACTGTTTTATATTAAAACTGTAAATATGACTGGGTTTGTGGTATAAATGGTTGCGAACGGGCGGTAATGCATATTGTACGTACGCATTGCGCACCTGGAGTGATGTGCGCAGGTCAGAAGTACACGAGGCAAGGAATAAAGTTGCGTTTGCTTAACATCCTGAGTTATTGATTCTGCTACAATAATGCATGCTTTGGACGGAATGGTTTCAGTCGGTTAAAAATAATTCGAAACAAAATCATAAATACTACTTTTTGACTTGTATACAGCGTGCTTCAACAAGTGTTTTTTGTTTGTTGACTCCATATCTATAAAATACCTTCAGCAGTCAGTGATTTGAGCAGCAACAAAAAACCTGAAAAAGAAAATAATAAATATTATTATTTATTATCCAACGGTGCCTCGTAGAATACAAATAACGCGCGAGACGAGTACAAATATCACGCGATATTTGTACTACAGAAATTTCCGCGAAATTCGCTCGCACTGAATTAACAATTTGGCGTGTTGGATAATAAATCTCTTATTAGACGTTTTGTTGTGTATTATCGCTGAGTATTTTTACGAGTTGTGCCGTATTTTGACGAGCCCATAGGGCTCGTCAAAATACAAACAACGAGTAAAAATACTCAGCGATAATACACAACAAAATGTCTATTAAGATATATGTATTAAAACAGTGGATAGCCTTGAAGGCGCACTCTGATTGCCTAGTCAAACTCCGAATATCCTTTGCTATTTAGGTTTGCACCCGTGACAAGCGAAGAATCACTCAAATTAACGACGGTGGTGTATATTATCTCACTGTTTTAGTATATACTAAAACAACTATTCACCTCAGTGTCGGTGAGTTAGCGGTGAATATTTACCTCGCCGCTTCGCGGCTCGGTAAATATCCACCACTAACCACCTCCACTTCGGTGAATAGATTTTAAATATTAATTGTTATGATAAATGTCTCAGATATTAAGCCCTTTATAAAGTGAAATCAGGTTAGCATCGATACACCCACTATACTGTGCTTGCAAAGACGAAACCAAGATATTTCTCAGGATGTTTCACTACTTGACAACGAACGACAAAATAATTCAGATACGTTGCGTTATTTTGAGTTGTTTTGCTAGCGGAGGAAATTCGGATAAAATGTTTGGTTGGGTTGACGGAACTGAAGCAACAAAACGGAAAAAAAAAAAAAAACCAAACAAGGATGGAAACTTGCAAAGGTTGGCGAAAATTAATACGGGTTTCAAGGTCTTCAAGGTATCGACTTAATTAAAAATGTACGCTGCATCATTGTAAACGTGACGAACTCCTTGTAGTATTTCGTAAGACAACAAGAATTCTCAGTTTCCTACGCACTTTGGTTCAAATTTGAAATACAAACACGACTTTAAAACATGTTGCATCATAAAATTCTAAGCGAAATACGGCTGGGATTGAGATGAGCGGAGGTGGCCATTTTGTTGAGCATATTAACTATGTGTTGAGCAATAAATTCAATATTCGTCGCTACCTCCATTGTGCATATGTCATTGTCTCATCAATTCTTCAATAAAGGTAGCGCACATCGAACATAACGTACATTCAGTACAGAAAGTCCTCAGAACAGAATGTCTCAATTTCCTTACTTTTGGGAAAGCATCTTTCTGTAACTACAAAACGACAGACCAGCCTAAAGCGCATACTAAATCTTCTCCTTGTACACACAAATTAAATAAAGCTACGAACGCTTGAATTTATGAGTGGCAGTTTTACTCAGTGAGAGCAATGAATAATTCGATTTAATTCGGTGAAACAGTTATTCAAGTCTCTGATTTTCGCGACTGATTATATAATTTATTTAGCCAGTTTCATTCCGGTAAAATTGACGCCGGTTTTAGTGTAACTATACCCACTGTAAACGAAGGGCGCGTGCATTATAATATATTCTAACACCTCAGATAAGTGGCTTTTCAGGTGCTCAGAAAATCTACCATTAGGGAACGAACGTGACTGCGCCGGCTTCATCGAATAAACTTACCAAAGTAAGGAAGCATCCTCTATTGCAGTCTAAAATTTCACGAAGGCAAAGTCCATTTCTGACAAGGTCTGCAAAAAAACGGCTTATCTTAGATCTGAGAGGACCGTCATACGTGTCAAATGATGTCAAATTAGTTATGTATTACGTGTCACGCAATGCAGTCAGTTACGATTCGTCACAGCTATTATTGTATCCCTGTTGGCCCCATACGTTGCCAAACTGAAGGGCGAAAGAAAAGAAAGATGAGTTGTAGGAAGTTGGAGACCGCCCTGTTTTAATGTTTTGTCGCTAAGTTGGACTTCATTTCCATTAAGTGAAAATGGATCTTAAATCACACCGCTAGCGCTCCGTACAGGCCCTTGGAAAGCAAATTGGACTAAAACGTAACCAGTTCTGGATTTTTGCTGTAATCAATACAACATACGCGAATAAAACCTTCCCTGGTTTGAACTCAATTAAATTAGGTTCCTATAGAAGGATTTTAGTTTGGAAATTGGTTTGCCACAGGGGAGTTGTCTTGGCCCACTATTATTTACAATTTACGCTGGAGAGCTACTTGAGATCGTCAAACCACACCTACCGACTGAAATGTGCTACGCTGACGATACTCAATTGTACATCTCTTTTAGTCCAAAGGAACAAACAGGCGAGGTTAAAGCCATGGCGAACATGGAAAAATGTATTAATGATATCCACAATTGGATGAAAGATGTCAAACTTAAATTGAATTCTGATAAAACTGAGCTGATATTTGTTGGCACAAAACAACAACTGGCCAAAGTAAAAACTACGCACCTCAGTGTAGGAAACGACCAGATTAGACCAAGTAAAGCAGTTAGGAACTTAGGGGTGTGGCTAGACCCATCACTAACAATGAACACTCATATAAATAAAACCTGTAGAACAGCTTTTTATCACCTATATAATAATACAAGAATCGATTGAAATTTTAATTTATGCATTAATTTATAGTCGTATCGGCTACTGCAATAGTTTATATTTTGGGCTGCCAGACTATCAAATCAATAATTTGGATATATCAACATTTCCATTTCAACTTCGTCGATGTATCCAAATTATTTCGTTACCCCCACCGACGCAGCCCCAAACAGTTTCTTTAAAAACTATCAACCTTTATCAAATCAATAACTTACAAAGAGCGCAAAATGCAGCGGCAAGGTTGATATTCATGGCTAGTAAATATTGTCACATTACTCTATTACTTTTTAAACTTCACTGGCTGCCCATTCGTCAACGTATTTTATTTAAGATCCTTCTGATCACGTCTAAGGCTTTTCATGGGCTTTCGCCTAATTATATAATAGAACTAATTACGTAAGTTAAAGACCCCCGGAAGGTACAGATTACGATCTTGCAATGATGATCTATTACTGGAATTACCAAAAGTGAAGATGTACTCCACACTCCGTGACCGATCTTTTCAAACAGCCGCACCAAAACTTTGGAATGTTGTTCCATATTATATTAGAAATTCAAAATCGTTGAATCTTTTTAAAAAATATTTAAAGACGTATTAATTAAAGAGGCTTTTAGTTGTTAAATCGAATTACATTAGATTAGATTAATTATATATATTTTTGTACTTAAACTAGACTATTAAACATTTTTAGATAGTTTATTGACATATGTTTAGCATGTATATTATTTCATTCTTAGATTTTTTTCTTTTTCTATTTGTTGTTTTTTCAGTTAGATTTTTGTAACATTTTAGTTTCTGCGCTGATGAAAATGAGTATTGATATAAGCGCAACATAAGTTAATATTCTTAATAATAATACCACACCTTTGCAAATGATAACTTCCACTGAACCGCAATATTAAAACATATTCAGTGTCTCTTCGAAATTTACCATTTATTTCGGAAAGTTTCGAAAATAAAATGAAAAACATAGTTTGCCGTCGCTTTAATTTGTTCATCATGTGAAAATTCCAAAATTTCTTCTTTTTCTGTAAACTGATTTTCAGTGCCACTGTACAGTGTACACTTTTTTTCAAGCCGGCTTCCGCCTGCTCAAGGTCGATTCAATTTCCTCGCCGTACAAGCACAATTTATTTTTTCCAGTTTTACATTAACACGTTTTATTATTTTGAGAAAAATTTTGAATTCCATTGACTGAGAGAGAGGTGTGATTCAGTCCTCGTTTAATTAAAAATAATGAAAGGAACACGGTTATTTTTTAGTTTCAAATAGCATAAGCCTAATGAACACCAAATGTAATAAACGGAACTTTTCCGTCGATCTATCAGTTTACTTGGGGCACTAAATCAGATGACGTAAATGGAATCGTTAAATTCATTTCAATTGAACTATCAAGAGGGTCTATCTAGGAGATATCTTATAAATTTTGAGAAATCCTGGCATGTTTTCTTGATCAGTCCGATATTTTTTCTTTTCGATGCACTATCTTACATAGTTTGCATTATAAAAACATCTCTCAAACTATTCTTATAATGTTGTAGGTTTTTTCATGTTTCTCAATTCAGTTTTGCAATTAAGCGCGGTGACGTAAAATAATTATTGTGATTATCTAGTCTTAGTAGGGGTTTGAATGTCCATTCAGAGACCATGCTAAGTGCAGTTTACAAATAGGCTGAAACTGAAACGGAACTGTGCGAGTTTGCATGTGAATTACTATTGACAGTGTAACCACTGTCACCACGAAACTGAAGCGAAGATTCATTCAAACAGGAAAAGTTATCGGCCTCATGTACGCTTGTAAATACAAATCAGGATAAAAAAGTCAAGTTATGCCATCGCTGGATGGACGATGGTAACTACCCGACGATCGATACGACATGAACCAGACGTCAAAAGTTAGCTAGTACTACGAAAGTTAAGACCTCAACTTGAAAACGTACGATTAGTGCCAGAACCTTTGCTTACAATCGAAACCTTTCATGAGTGTTTGTTTGTTGCAAGATGAACTCAAGTGTAAAGTTCTGCGTCGATTCTACATTGTCTAACGAATTGGCTCGCTTCAAGCTAACATCAACGATTTCTAACATCCTTGTAGGAGTATGCGTCACAAATGGTCTCTTATCGCCGATTGCAGTGATAGGAAACGGCCTCGTTCTCATTGTTATTCTGAAGTTCCCAAATCTTCAAACTAATTCGAATATTCTGATATTTTCGCTAGCTACAACAGACTTTCTCGTCGGTATGGTGGTCCAGCCGTCATTCATTATCTACATCGCTAGCAAATTAAGACTGGACTTCTCTTGCGTGGCTTTTATGTTGTACTTATTCACCGAGATCTTTAGTCTCGGCCTATCTATTTTAATGTTAACGCTTGTGTGCTGCGATAGATACTTTGCGATTGTCTATCCATACTAGTACATCAGTCGCGCCACAAAGAGTCGGGTCATAAAAGCTCCGGTTATTTTCTGGGGCTCATGGCTTATGTTCAACGTTATATGCAGAGCAGTGAAAGTGAAAAACGACGAGTTTTTTTCACCGGTTGCCTCCATTGTGTTCGCAATAACTTTCAGTTTAAACATCGTTTTGAATTTCAAAATTTACCGCGTGGTGAGATTTCACAAACGGCAGATTCTTGCTCACAAACAAGACACAATTGACCTCGAGACGCAAAAGAATTCCGAGGGACTAGATAAAAAAACTGACAACCCACGGGCGCGTTTACAAGACACGCGCTCGGCTGTCACAGTGCTGTTAATTTCCGGGGTACTGGTTATCTGTTATTTACCTCTCATGCTGACTTCGGTGGCAGATATGGTAGTAGACAGGGATGATATTTTTGATCACGTTATTTATCCATTAGCAGAGACTGTAGCATTTGTTAATTCTTCGTTGAATCCGTTTCTCTATTGTCTGCGGTTTAAGGAATTACGACTTAAAGTGGGTCAGCTTTTAAGGATTTCGACCGCCTCCGGTGAAAACAGCTGAGTTTATTTGAATATATGTACAATTATAGAATTAGGCATCGGATGTAATCTGTGAAGCTTTTTTGCGATAACTATCTATAAGAGAGGTTTTTATCTAAAAGTTTCATATATGAAAGACGCTGAAACTTCTCTATTTCATAGCATCAAACTGCGACATTGTTGCTTTGCGCAAACCCTGCTAAACAAGCTTGCTCCCAAGCTCTCTCCTATTTTCGCCCAGTGGCGCAGGGGCGAGAGGGCAACTTGGGAGAGAAATATCTTGGGTCTCTCTCTCGTTTCGGGGAGCGGGATAAATTGACAAACTTTGATATTAGACAAAGTCACATTTTTTTTATAACTCCGTTAACAGTAAAAAGTTCTTAAAACCTAATCCTTACCCAAAAAGTTCTGCCAAAAAGCAATAAACTTAGTGAGGGACTTGCGGAGAGAAAGCAGATGATGGATATTAGTTGGCCCATCGAAACATGTGGATGATTTGCTTTACCTGCACGCTCGGGTAGGCAGCGATAGAACTGCTGACTTAATTTTTTTTTAGTAAACTTCATCTTAACATAGACCAGCATTTTTCTCTTCTTTGCCCTTTTCAAAGAGCGCATATAATAATTTTTAACACATTTCTCAGTATTTCTTTTCCCTGCTACTTTAAACCTTTCTTCTGCTATGTAATTTTAGAATATTCTTTAATAACCATTCCGACTTCTGATCGTCACTGCTACCTTTTTACCATCAGTTGTACCTATATAACTATAAGATTTATATAATCTCGTTAGAATTCTTGAAAATAGAAATTTCGCTTGATTTGATAGCACGAAAACAAAGTAAGTACGTGTCTTAAGTATAATTGCTCTGGTGATCATAGAGATGTGCGCACTCTGATTAGTCGAGGATTGCGTTATATTTAACAATTATTCCACGAGCGCGCGTTGGATATGAGATGATAGATAGCCAACGAGGCGCGTAGCGCCGAGTTGGCTATAATCATCTCATATCCACCAAGCGCGAGTGGAATAATTGTTTTATTAAAAACGCTCCCAAGATATTAGACAAATCTTACCAAATCTTAAATTTTTTAGCTCCCTTTTAATTTTAACCCGACGCGCACGCTACCATATTTGTAGATTATGGTATATTGGCTCATATACCATAATGGCTAAGCCAATAAAAAGTCTTGAATTGCATTATCCAATGATCCAGTTTTTAATAAAATATCGTTATAATCACCTCGTGCGAGGTAATTATGATAGGAGCGCTAAATTTCAAAATGGCTGCCTCGGGTTTTGTCAGTGTCACCGAGGAACCGATGAACGCGTTAAAGAAAACTAATTTCTGAAGAGCACAGAAGATGCAAATAACTTTGGGGAAACACTTTTCAAAAGAAAAATACGAAGTTTTTGCTGATTGAATTAAATTAAATTGTTAAATTATAATGGAAACTGGCTCTTTATCTCGATAAGAGTAATCGAAATAATTGAAACAATATGGTTTTAACATCAAAACGAATATTTACAACAGAATTCGAAAGCACCTCAACAATCATACTGAAACAATTATCCGCCTCTGGCTTAGTGAATAATGTTGAAAAATGTCAACCTGATGAGGAAACTCTGCATCATCTTATACCACACACATAACTGCGAAAGGCTCGAGAGGAGCTTGTGTCAATTACATGCAATGCAAAGGGCTTAAAAGGTCAAGGACGAAAATAGCACTTATTTCCTAAGGCTAGAAACTGCATGGTGACATTTATTTGGTAAATGGAAACAGTACACTGACATAAGCCGGAAAAAAGAGCTGTTTGAACCATAAAAACACTTGCGTGACTTTGGATTTCATTTTGAAGAAGAGAGCAGAATATTTTTGCTGTCCCACCGTCTGTGAGCTCTTGAAAACAGCAATGTCCTTCGTTTTAGGTGGGTACAAACATTACCAACGATTTCAATCCACTACCTTAGAATCCATTATGGTAATGTTTCGTTGTAATTGTATTTCCTTTCTCGGATTCGCACGCCTCGACAGCTGAATTAGCAGCTGTAAATACTTTCTTGTTTACATGTCTTTTAGTGAAGAGGATCCCTGATTTTCTCGCATTAAATGACCCAGATTGAACTCAAGTACACGAGAGATTATATCTCTCATAATTACCGAACTTAATAGAAATAATCTTACCAGAAGATATACTTACTTTACACTTCTTTTCTGCAAGATTTTGTACAAAACAATAACTCATAGAGGCTTGCTGGGCGTTTTTGTACATGAAAAAAATTTAATGTGATATTCATGAGCAATCGCTGAACAGTAACTGAACCTCACCCTGGGATCGCGGGGTGCAAGTGACATGTAGACTTGGGCTGAAATGTTTTCTTAAACCTTTGAAATTTGTTTCACTGTTACACTTGTAATTAGATTCTCCATGTCGGTTCTCCTCACAAAATCGAGACATTTTTTTTATTTATTTAGCAGGGCCCAGTTGTATAAAGGCCCGATAACACTATTTATTACATCCATTTTGAAATCACTGGTGGTCCCTGTAATCTGATTGGCTCTAATTGGTGCAATTTATTCACGAATCCCACGATTTTTTGCTCTGAATTGCATCATTTGACGCTTGACTGAGTTTTTGACACTTGACGTCAGTCTTTCTGTTTTGCATACAAAATAAGATGTAAAAGGGTTTCCCGTTCCACTTATTTAAAAACCAGCTCAGTACTGCATCAGTAAAATATTTGAATTGGCCAAGTCCTGTGTTTGGGCGTTTTCAAAATGGATATAATAAAGTGGTAATTGAACCTTGTGTTGTGCAATTTTGGTCTGAAATCATACTTGTGATTTAAAAAGGAACTCGCGCTGCACACTCTTTCAATTTTGAAATCACACATAATTTCAGCCCAAATTGTACTCCACTCAGTTTAATTACCATTATTTAACGGATGAATTGCCATCTAGGGGATAAGTGGTGGCAAAACAAACTGCGTTATCCAACCTTCACACACCAAAAAACTTTTTGAAATTAAAAAAATTATACTGGAAACAAGTAAAATCTTTGAATGTTGTTTACAAGAAAATGTGCAATGGCAGAAAGGACAATTAAGTCTGAGATCAAGGCTTCAAATGTCTGCAAGTTTATTCCTCAAGCTTTTTCCGTGCCACTTTGATTATTGGGGGCCATATTTCAAGCAATAATTAACATTTATTTAACAAATGTTGTTATCTGAAATTTCTAAGAAAAAACCAGTAAACCATATCATGTTTTTTTCTTTCAGTGTTTTGTTCGCTGCTCTGCAAATTAGCAGTGACTGAAGGTAATCTATTTAAAATCATTGAACACAATCTACTTGTGATAGATATAAGCTTTGCCACCAAAGCTGAAGCAGAATCTATTTGAGAAGTCTTGAATACCTCTCAAGACATGGAAAACAAACTAAACAGTATGCTATGGGAGACTGAACTGCAAACATAAACTTCAGCACTGTGGTTTTCACCCTTTATTATTACTGATTTTTAAATCTATCTCCTGTAGGGACTATTATTACTTGTAGTTAACAGTTTTTTTTTTCTTTCAAATTTACAAACTTTATTCCATGCACATCAGTTTTCCATCTCCACCCGCAAATAGCAAAAGCTAGATGAGGCGGGCGGAGAGGTAAGGTTACAGCAGTCATAACAGATAATATAATAATTGTAAAGTAACTAACTACCTACCTAACTAACTAACTAATAATTGTAAAGTAACTACGTAAACTATCTGGATAAATAAGAATTACTGAAAAACAAGCTAGGGTTACAAAATATATAGTCTTACAGAATAGTATTACAATCAAATTTACTCCTAACAGAACCTATCGATTATTTATAGTACATTGAATTCAAGGATACAGAATTTGCCATTTTTTGTTGAAGAATGGGCACTTCGATCAAAGTTATCCATCAAATTTATGCATCAAAGTTATCCATGAAACCTATACCAGTAGCCTTAACACTGCTACGTGAAGGTAATAGGGCTGAGTGGTGTAAGGCCATCCTTGGACATGTAAGAAGTAAATAAATAAATATTAAATAAATATGTTAATTGAAGTTCCCCCATAGGGGCTTTTCAGCCACAAAGTAGACTAACTAAGTGATTGAAAATCCCAACTGGCAGGAGGCAGACCAGTGGGCTATTTACAGAGCGCAGCTGAGGAGTTGAACTAGGGGCAACCGAGAACAAATCCAGTGAGTGGCGGGGTGGAGGACCTGAAACTGGGACACCAGATTACCAGTCCAGCACCCTAACCACTCAGCCACGCTGCCTCCACCTACGATGTAATCTGTTGGTCCTGGGTTCCAGTCCTACATGCTGCTACTCAATGAATTGGTTATGATTCACCCTAAGTTCAATGTCTTGGTTGCACATTGTATGTAACCAAATGGTCTGCCTCAAGCTAGCCAGTTAATATTTTTGAAGCCATATTTATTTACAATGTTTCCAATTCATTTGTAATGGCCCTGGAAAGTACCATTGGAGGAGTTTCAATTACATGTAATGTTATTATTATTATTATTATTATTATTATTATTATTATTACTATTATTATTATTATTGTTGTTGTTAATTATTGTGAATTTTTCTCTCCTAACAGGGCTTTCTTGTTCTTATTCAAATTCTCGTGACCAAAACATGAACATTTTATTACAAAGTTCATCAGGAGTCTTTGAAAGCCCAGGATATCCAGACGGCTACTCCTTTGACCTAATAAGCCAGTGCCGCTGGAAGCTAATAGCCCCACCTGGTAGAATGGTTCGCTTGACATTTCTGAGTTTTCAAATGAATGATTATGATCAAGTGGAAATAAAAGATCGTGGCGATAACTGGAGCACCTATCGCTCAATAATTCGATCTGGTTATTTGCCTACATTTACTGTATTCTCTACTGGACAACAGCTTGAGGTTAAAGTTTCAGGAAATCCTGGAAAAACTGGACCAGGATTCTTTGCAAATTATACAATGATACCTGCTGCAGGTAAGGATAAAGATATTCTAGTATGGCATGTCATTAATTACAATTATGTCAGTCCACTTTGTGCATGTTAGTCTGTTAGAGAAATTAATGGTAGGAATAAATATGTTCAAATTTGATGGATGGGTGGGTAGATATAATGTAAATACAGTCAATTTTGTTGGTTAGGTTTAATATCTTTTTGTAAATACTTTTGGCAAAAAGTCATCAGTTTATGCACAAGGATTTGAGAATTATCAGCTTTTATTCATGCATGATATTGATTAGATGATACACCTGTAGGTGTTCTCTTTCATGTTATTCAGTTTTATTTTTGTCTCGTGATTAAAAATTTATCTTTTAATTAACTGGACTCTCAGCCTAGTTTCCAGATAAGCCAGGTTTGACTGTATAGAGACAGGTTGAAAGACAGACAGACTCACATACAGAGTGACATAGACCTGGCAGAAAGACAGACAGGCTAGATAAATAGATAGTCAGATAGTCAGACAGACCCTGAAATATAGACACTTAACAGCCACAGATAAACAGACAGACAGACAGATTAACAAATAGATAGATTGATGAACATACAGGCCAAAATGTTCTATCAAAGGTGCTAACCCAGACCCCTCGTACACCTTGACTAAGAACTTTGCATCCCTTTCCCAACCTTTTGTTAGCTATACTCTCATTGGTGTTGAGAATTTCTTTTAGATCCTTATAAAGAATTAAATTTAAGCAATTTTGTACAGGTGTGTAATGTGTCCTTTCTTTTCCTTTTTTTTGTTAAGTTTCACATGGAAAATGCAACCCTGAAAAAAATACTACTGTGCAGCTGACAGGTGAAGGAATGAGTTTTTTTACTCCAGGATTTCCAATGTACCTGGGGAAAGGAGCTGCTTGTGTTTGGAACATCACAGTATCCCGTGGAAAGTTTATTAAGCTGACATTTTGGAGTTTCAGGGCCTCAGGATGTGACGGGAACTATGCTAATGTTTCGGAGGTAACAAATGGTACACAGACATTCTTAAACAAGTTCTGTTCTAGTCAAGATGGAACAGATCAGGTGGTGTATTCAACAGGACACAACTTAGTTGTCTCTGGACTGTTCAAGAAAGGAGGATTTGTTGCAACCTTTGAGGCAGTAACCTCCATTCCTGGTGGAGATTCTTGTCTCAATGATCGGGAAATAGAGCTTAGTAAAAATTCTAGTGAATTAGCAAGTTATGGCTTTCCCAATCTCTACCCCAACGATGCCAAATGTACCTGGACAATAACGGCCCCCCCTGGGTATCTTATTCAATTGACTTTTAACTCATTCAACTTGGAGCCTTCTCAAAATTGTAAGAAGGATTTTGTGAAAGTTGAGGAAGGTGCACTCTATTTTGGTTATCCAGGTAATACTGTTCTTGGCATGTTCTGTGGTTCTTCTTTACCACCAGTTATTCGGTCAAAGTTTTCAACAATGTATGTAGATTTTGAGACGGACAGTTCAGGAATGTACCGAGGATTTCATGCAAGCTTCATGACTTTTCCTGACCGTGAGTACTAAAAACGTATTTTATTGTTTTCAAGATATCCTTGATTTTAATTAAATTCAAATATTTTTTCCTGTGCACCATTGGTCACACAACTGAATATGTGCAGTAAAAAGTGAGGAGAAGGCATAGATTTTCCCACAGTGATGCTTGCAAATTGGCAAATCTTTCATCCAATGAAAGTATGCCTTCAAGAGTTGATTCAGTTTCAGGAGAATGCACTGCTGTCATTACAAGAGATGAGAAAAACCTTCTTGTTTGGAAAGTCGCTTTGAATTTCATAGTCAATATCTGTTTTCAATGTCACCTGCTTTTAAGAAAGGGGTTTCTTTCTCTCGTCAAATGCCTGAGCAAAGAAAAATATTCTGAGTCCTCATAAGGAATTGAGCCTCAGACTATTGGTTTAATTTTTCAAAAATTATCATCACCCATTTACTATTTTTTTTCAAAACCAATATTATTATCGATGATGTAGATGAGTATGTTGAATTTTAAGCCTGGTGTTTAAGTGGAAGAAGATATTATCCATTGAATGGCACAGTTATACCCATAGAAACCTGAGAAAACTCAGAGTGCTCCCAATAAGATTGGAACCTATGACCCTCTGTTTAGTACTTCCGATGCTCTACCACTGAGCAAAAGGAGACTCATGTCATATTAGGTCCATAGTGACAAATATCTTGCATACTACATTCATCCATCTTCATTTACATCATCATTGCACTTAAGCATCACATATTGACATTGGTCTCTGAGCTTTGCGCTGGAAGTTTCTCACCATGGACTTAGTTAAATGGCCTTGCTCTCACGAATCTCGTACAGCCTTGTGGGTAGGGTGCCTCCAGTACCAATCAGTGGAGTCATAGGTTCGACTTCCATTTGGAGCTCTTGGAGTTTTTTTTTGTTTTGTTTTTCTGAGTATGCTTGTGAACATCTTCTTTCCATACTATGGTTTTACTATAATTGTTTTTTGTTTGTTTTTTTCTTCAGCGGGTGTGGGACCCTGCAAACTTGAAGGAGTTGACAATGTTTTTCGAGTGACCGACAGCAAAGGAGAAATTTTTTCGCCCAAATTTCCTCCGGGGACCCCTCCCAGGGACATGATGTGCACATGGACAATCACCGTACCTGAGAGACACTTTGTCAGGTTCAACTTGATTGAATACAAGTTTCATAACTACTGTGGCAAATGGAACACCAGCCTTGAAATTCGTGATGGGGGAAGTTCAGCCAGCAATTTGTTAAAGTTATACTGTGAAGACACCTTTTATGGACTAGAGCTCTTCTCCAGCGGTCGGCAACTTTGGGTTAGGTTCCAGTCCCCCAAGGCTGATTGGTCGTTTTTGCCTCGGTTCAGTGCAGTTTTTGAAGCAGTGAAACAATGTAAGGCTTTTTCTATTGTTAGCTGTTGAATTTCTCGCGATGCTGATGTTAGTTGCGAATACAAAAGAGACAGTAATTGCAAAGGAAAATCATGTTTTCGGCATGTTTTCCGTGCAGAATAAACCTGGGCCGTAACTTTCAGTACGGACCTTAAATTCGGTTAACTCGGCAAGCTCGGGAAAATACTTGCAACCAAGTCACGCTGGTCTTGTTTTTACCTCTAACTGGTCGAGAACGTTTGTTGGTTTTTCTAGAACAGTGACGCACAGTAGTTATCAAAGACAAATGCAACACAATGAAATACTGGATATTTTATACTCAACTGAATAGTGCTCTTTCATGTTATGTTCAAGAGAGGAAAATGTCTAATTTTTATGTTTATATTTTCAGTACCAGCCCCTTACTCTTGCGTGACAAATACGCGCAACTTTGAACTGTCGTCGGAGACTGGTGCCCTAGCCAGCTACAACTACCCACTGGCGTATGATCTGCCGATTGGGGTTGACTGTACCTGGACAATTAGGACTGGGAAACTGAAAAAAATCCAACTGTCGTTTGACTCGTTCAATCTAACAGACACCAAACCAGAGTGTTCGCATTCTGATTACGTTGAGGTCGGAGATGGAGAATGGTCAGGGGTTTGGACACTGATTGGAAGATTCTGTGGATCGCAGATCCCTCCAGTTATAAACTCAAATAAGTCCACCATGTTGGTCAGGTTAGTGACCACTGGAAAGACAAAACATCCCGGATTTAAAGCGAGTTACAAATCAGTTGGTCAGTATGAGTACTGTGCGGCATGAAAATTCTTTGGCTTTTGAGTTTTGCGTATTTTACGAATTGCAGAAACGTCACCAGGGGGAGGTGCAAGGGTGCCCGTGCGCCCCTTACCCCTCCCCCCGCATTGTAAGATGATATCGTTTGTATTATTCCAAAACACACGATCCATATCATTTTGGTAGTGAAAAAGCTCGAATCCGCAGAATCTACACGGCATGAGAAAACGAAATAAAATGCAGTAAAACGAAGCCGGGATGTAGCCATGACGGTAGGGTGGGTAGGGGGGTAATCTGGGTGTTATTCGTCTGAATCACCTCCCCCCCTCCCTTTTAAAGATATCCTAGCCACTCCTCTTTAAGGGTAAGAGAATCTGGTAGAAATTTCTGAAGGTGGATTCTGGGGCGTTTATTTCGTTTGCTCAAACCACTACCCCATGGTTCGTACAATCTTGAAAAGGTCTTGAATTTTAACGGTCGTCTTGAAAAGTCCTTGAATTTGGTCAAGTCCTTGAAAAGTACTCGATTTCTTTAGTAGGTCATGAAAAGTCTTTGAAATTTAGCAACTTCTGTGCGCCTTATCGCTGTTCTGATAAATTAAACGATTTTGCTATGGAAAATTTGTCCACTAGTAACTACCAAAAAGCGAAAATGGTCGGTATAAAACGCGAGTGGTACATGAATGAAAGTTGGATGTGTGCCTCAATTTTATGCGCAAGGCCTCCGATGTGGGGTAGTCCGCCATGTGGTTTTGTTTTAAGGGGCAACGTAAACATGTAGTGGTTTGTCTATGTTTTGGTCGATAAATTTTTCATTTCCCTTTGTTTTCAATTTAATTGAGCGATGGGCAAATGTGTATTCAATCGTAAATGGTTTAGATTTATGAATAAAACTTAGTCCTTGAAAACCATTTTTTGTCCTTGAAAAGTCCTTGAATTTTGTTTGTCTGAAGTTGTACGAACCATGGTACCCGCAAATGAAGTGGTTGTCGCCCTTCCTATGTCTTTCTCACAGGGACTGAAAATTGTCCCATTCCCCGTCCCCTTCTTACTCCCTTCTCTCTCTTTTCCCTTTTTTTCTCCTTTGTCCTTTCTTTCTTCTCCTTTGTTAGAACGAGGCCATGACTTGTTGCTGTTTTTGTTACTTTCCCCAGTGGCCACTGAAGGCATTCTGGTAATATTGGCAGGTTGTCTCGGTGGGGTTCTTCTTTGCTTAGTGATTGGAATTGGATGTCACAGATATTGCAGGTCACGTCGAGAACGAGCCACACGCGATGGCGGAATTGAAGTTGTTCTGTTGCACGAAGAGAACGCCGCTGAATTGTGATTTGGCCTTTCTATGTGTGTTCGCCCTTCACTCCTGGACCTTTCACAGGAGCCTCTTTATGTGAACCATGGATTCTAGGATCAATGTTGCTTAAGTGACGCTAAAGCTGCACGTGATGTTTTAAAAAAATGAAAGGACTAAAAAAAACCCATGATATAACGAGTACCTCTGTTAACAGAAAAGTAGTTAAAGTCCCTTGCTCGTCTAGCTTGTGGCAATATTTTGCCACCAGGTTATTTGAAAGTATAAGCCGTCCGCCTAAAGCTTAGTCCCTCCGAGCAAGCCAAATGAAGGGCGACGTTCTTGCAGCATTTGACAGCTGCAAGTCGATCTTGTGTTCTGCGTACACTGTAAGAACATGGGTGGAAAGAAGAGACTTTTCCTACTTTAGAAATTATCCCTGGTGTTCAAAAAAGAGGGAAGAAAAGGATAAAATTACAACAGGGGGTAACTATTCCTAACCGAGGGTAAAGCTGGGTTAAGTTTGGATGATCATATTCTAAAAAATATTTATAATAGTAATATTACTTAATAATTCCTTTTCATTTTGTTCACATTACTGAATTCATAACATGATAATGAAATGGACATATGTAACCACAGTCAAACAGTACTATTAAATGAAAAGGTGGCTATAATTACACATAAAGTGTCCTCAAAACGTACGTATGTTGTTATGAGTTAGATTGTTATTAAGCACCACTCGTGTACTATTGTGATCGGAAAATAGATTGCTCCTGGCCTTCAAAGCCCCTTTACACGTGAAGTACTTTGTTGAGTCATACAATCGGCACACTGAAACGTTTTTTTATCGTTATTTCGAATTCCTTTGCCATCCTTAGCTTTTTCCACGAGAGCCTCAGCTGTTGTTAGCGCCTTTTCCGAAGATGCAGCTCATTTCAGCCAAAAGTTGTTCAGTTTGATCCTTTACAATTATCAGTAGCAACCTCAAGCTCCATTCCCGGGTCTCCTACCACAGGTTGTTTTTGTATAGCAATAAAATCGATCGAGCCTGTCAAAAGTCGAAGCACTAATCTTGAAACATCTGAAAGTTATAAGTTTCGGGAAGTCTTGCTGAATTCTTAGGGCTGTGATTTAGATTTGTGTGAATTGAACCATCACTTCATACAGTAATTTGTAGACAAGGCTCCTTCTGTAGACCATTAGTGCCTCTGAACCTAAGAAAATAAAGGAAAGGAACGCACACGAGAAAACACACGAATGAAAATAAACAGTTCTACCTTGAGTGCGACAGTCAATGGCCAGCGTTCGTTTGCTTTTGGTGCGGTTAGAATTTGGAACAGACCTCACAACGAAACGAAGAACTGCTCTTCCTTGAGATCATTTATTTAAAAAAAAGAACTAGCAAAGAAACGAACTTAGCACGCTAGGCTAGTTTCGTATCCATTACGTGGCGGTTTTGTTCGTCTCTAATTTTTCTCTTTTTTTCTTTTTTTTTTTTTCCGTTTTTCACGAGGGCTACATGTACCGTGATACTTCGCGCTACCCAAAGGAATCAGTCGGGTGACGCTATATGGAAGGCGTTCGTCGAGGTAAGAGTAAACAGTAATTTTGGTCAGCGGGCAAATTATGAAACCCGCGAGTACGAGTATTGCGAAATCC